TGGAAATGTTTGTAAACAATGTGAAGCAACAGGTTTTGTATTTGTTGTATACATTATGTAGGTGGTAGGTCAGAGGCATCAAATGAAATCTTCAAATATTTTTCACAAGGGCTCTGGTTTTTTTTTTTTTAACAAATGTTCAGCAAAGTATAGCGATGTAAGCAGGGTGGGTGCAGAGTGCTAGTGCTACGGGCTAGAGATTTTAAAAGCAAAATCGAGATGGTGAGCGAGTCAATATCGGGACGGTGAAATCGCCGTCCTGTAGGTTCCATCGTATGCCAAGCAAATGTGTAGGGATGAAGAGCACCACCTATTGTCCAATAATGTCCATTATTGTCTGTTCAGACAGCAACTCCTATTTAAGCTAAGGGCTTCAGATTGTAAAAGCGAAATCTGGATGCTGATGGAAGCAAATTTGGGACGGTGAAAATGCCATCCTGTAGGAAAAATTGTGTGTCCATCTGCAAATTTGAAGGGATGAAGAGCGCCACCTATTGTCCGATAGTGTCCATTATAGTCTGTTTGGAACAGCACCTCCTGTAAGCAGCTGGTGTCTGTCCTCTCTCTGAACCCCCCCCCCCCCTTTTTATTTTGCAGAGGGCGGATGTCGGGGAAAAATCTTGTTTACCCTTTAAAAATCTGTAGGCTTGCTTCCCGGTAATTACCAATGTTCCTACTTGTCTTTAATGTGGATGAGCCTTAATACGCTACTTTCACAAAGGAAGTGCAAATTAAAAAAAAAAAGCTTCGTCTTAATCTGTGCAGTTCGGATTTTTTGTTCGATTACCTTGCATTTACTGCATCTCAACATGATCCTTTATTGTATAACTCTAAAAGCACGCAAACAACCACTATCCCCCCCCCCCCCAAAAAAAACCCAAATTGTTTCACTAATTATTGCTTTGTTTGCATCGGCGGCCAAACGACGTAACCTTTCAATGTAGTACTCAGGCTGTTCCCGGGCTGTTCCCAGAAGCATTTAAATTTGCAGTTTAATTCTAACACAAAGTTGAATTTTGTAAAGTTTTAATCCTCCCCCCCCCCCCCACAAAAAAATAAACAAACAAACAGGGGGGGGGAGGGGGATTTTATATTTGTGGGATAGAACTATGGCATGTCTTTTTTCCCTCTTTTCTATCAACCCCCCCCCCCCCCCCCCCCCCCCAGGTACAAACTTAAGGGAAGATAAATCTCCCAATTCTATATTTCATTGCTTCGTATCACTACTGTTTTCAAACCAGACCAACATAATAAACACTATCAAAAAGTGCAGTTCAACAAACCGTAGACAAATCTGGTCACACAATAACAACGCAGAACTTGCAGTACACAACACACCAAGGCATATAATCTACCGATCTGATATTTATAGATGGAAAAAAAAAAAAACTGGGCCTGAATAGAGCCTTGTGTCCCTTTGATTGGTTAGACTTTGTGCAGGATTGTGGTCATGACCCCTGTGACATTCAGAACAAAGACTACACAGTGCTGGGGCTGCCAGTTACATTTGACCCCCCCATGTATTCATTCACTCCGTTCAGTGCCACTCTGCGTTTTTACTGCAACACATTAAATCGGTCTATTGTGTACACCCGGTCTGGGGTGGGAACTCAGGACGGGTGAAGGGTAACTGAAAGATTTCTGGGAATTAGTCCTCAATATTCAAACTATATAACTGAAGTAAATCTGGTACCATATTTTCAAGCAGCGATCCCACAAAATGGCTTGAATGTCATGTACAAATACAATCAAGTACAGTAACACACGTCACATGCTCTGTGTTTGTAAATCATTTTTGAGTTTTGGATTACAGTGGAACTTTAAATAAACACAATGGGTTCCACACAAAATTATTCAGAATAATGGCCATTTGTTTTAAGTGATTTTAGATCATCGATGCTAAATCTTGGTGTCTCATGGCCGAATCTTTGGGATATTGGTGTTTGTTACAGCAGCATCCGACCCTACCGCAATCTCTTTTTTGATTGCAAATGACTTTTAAGTTTAATGTTAATAGCCTGAGAAATATAACTTAGATAAAAAGTGATGATTGCCAATTACAACCCTAACTCCCTAGCGGGTGTGCAAAATCACACTGAAATTGGAGGATTCAGGACTGTTAGGGTTTGCAGTTCTGTGATATTTCAAATTTAACTTGGAAAAATAGATTTGTTGGCTTTTTCATTACTAGCAATATAGAAATTATTCACTTTGAATGAGACATCGAATGAAAAACTTCACTGAATGAAAAACTGTGGATTTGATTTCTTTACAAAATTTGAATTTTTGGTGGCCCATGAGCATTTTCTTTTTAAATTTTAGAGTAGACCATCAGGTGAGACATCATTGTTTAAAAGTGACTGACCTTTCCTTCAAATGGCAGAGATGAGATGACAATTTATGAAACGGTCTGAAAATAAGACAAACTGGAATTCATTCAAGTTACTTTCTATAAAAAGGTTCTTATTAGCTCAATAGGTCTGATCTCAGACGAAAATCTGAAAGATCTCGTGTTTCACAAACACTGAGACATTTTTACCTGCAGTAAAATCTTCCATTAGCAGAAAATTGCCACCTCTCTTAGATATTTTTTTTGTCATTGTGTGAAGAGGGCTTTATGTATGCATTTCCATTCACTAGCCCAGCGTACCGAAAAATGCTCCTTCAATAAAACTCCATTCTCATATGATTACAAAAACATCCTGGAGACTATGTGTCGCAGTAGGTCAAATGTGAAAGCTGCCCGAAACATCCCAACATTAAATACAAATCTAGTTTCTGACAGACAAAAGCCTTAACACGCATTGGTTGCATAGGACTTATTTACACTGACTCCTCTTATTGTGTCAATCATACTATCAATTGAGACAAAAATTACAATTACGTTTCACTCAACGGGCATGGTTGCAATGGTTTATAATTGTCCTGAAACTGCACATAGTAGCTATAAAACCAATACAGCCTTTGGGCTTTCTTTTTAATGTAGGGTATAATTTGCAAATCATGATAACAAAACATACATTTGAACTGCTTAATAAATGGTTTGTTGAATTTGTAGAAGTATTTTTGTGTGTGAGCCTTTAACCAGAGTAGCTTCTTTTTTGTTTACAACATGTGTGTTAATATTTGCTGTATTAAAAGAAAAACATTTTAGGTGCTTCCATTTCTTTCCTAAACGTGAAATTTTAATTCCAAATGTGTACTGAAATTTTCAGATTTCTAAGGAAGGACTGAAACCTCAGTCCACACCCAATCTATAGGCCTTATTCACGCGTCGGCCATATTAATTTGAAAGCGAGGTAAAATCTTCGTTTTTGGAACTTGTGAACAAAAATGAAAGCAATTAAATAAAATTTACAACAAATTAATACCAGTCTGCTCTGATGAATAATTTAAAATATGTGATTAAACATATCCTGATGTTTTAAGCCACATTTAAAAAGAAAATTGGAGAGTGAGGCATAGAACGCATAAATAGTCTGGCACCATCCCTTTCAATAGTGTACAATTTGTAAAATACTGCTCCCAACTTCTATTGCTGCAGAGAAAACTTTACATCAACTTTGTCATGAACCAAAAAAAAAAAAACCAGTCGACCATCAAAGTCCGAAAAAGCTATGATTGAAAAGTACTAAACCTGTTGCCAGTAGACAAATCTTATGAAACTTTATACACTTGAGAAACATCCAATGGTTATTTTACTTTCCACACGTTTCATGGTGAAAAACAACCTCTCTTTCAGGTTATTCAACAATATTTAAAAAAAAAATCTGGAGTCTTGAGGGATAATGTAGGTTAATTTCACTGGATACAAATTTAAGCAAATTGCATCTTGATTCAATCACTTACATCAAAAATCATAACTATTAATTTTTCTTTTACACTCTGGCAAATCAATGCATGCATTTCTTCAGAGTTCTTGTGATATTGGTTTTGTTGTGACAGACAGTCACCGACATTTCATGAATCAAACAGGTTGTTCAGTAAAGAAGAATATAAAGTCAAAACAAAGTGATTAAATTCCTCTTTAGTAAAAGATATTGCTGTGGGTTATTCAAAGTTTGATATTAAAAATTGTCTGGCGCAAGTACAAAAATAATCAGTTTTGTACAACCAACTTTTTATACAGCTAGCTGCAGTTATCATAATGCCGCATGAGATGGAACGTGAAAACTGAACTCGAGCACACGTGAGTCATGCACGTAAAAAATAATCCAATAAATTATTAATTGCAAAATTAGATTTTAATACTTTTCGGTGAAAAATATGAATAAGCCCAAGAAATACATCCACTATTAAGAAATAAAAAAAACAGACAAATGGGTCCAAATATACATAATCTGAGAAGACTTTATACAATGAATGTCTTTTATTGGTATCCTCTTTTGAACCAAATGATATTTCTCTTCAACAATCGTTTCTAGAAATGACAGTCATTTTTCACAATCTCGGGGCTGCTGCACACAGAACTGGCCCAGCGCTTGTATTGTGCTTGTATTAAAAAAAAAAAATAGCACAAGCCTTTGTACATATACATATAGTGGAAAGGAGCAACGCTGATTGGTCAACGCGCAGCTGTCATGAGTCATATAGCGTTGTGTGTAGAGTCTATGGCGTTTTAGCATCAGGCATGGCGCCCTGTGCCCAAACAAAGGAACACAAAGAAAGCCTATTTCTCTTCTTATTTTGAGCGATCTAATGTTGTTCTTTATCCTCCGAACTCTTCCCACGTGTTTCCCTATCGTTACCGCAATCCCATCGAGGACCTAAAGAAGTGCATAGAAGGGTTCTTGGCAGTGGGAAAGGGTGGGAAAAGGCCGGGGAAATGCTGGAGTTTGAGCAAGATCGAGGCAGATCTGATGGCGGTGGCGCGCGGCGCAAGGAAAAACATCCAGCCCCTTCGCCATATCCCCGATTCTCCGCACGCTCGAAGCTACCTCGCCGAAAAAAACTGAAATCACAAAGGAATAAACAACCCCAGAAACATCGCTGCAACTTACCCATCCTGACGGTTTCCAGCTGAAAACTCCACGGAGACAAACAGTGGAATAGGCAAGCTCTGTCTTGCTGAGGATCTGGCTTTTGTTCAGCTTTGTTGCCGATCAAAATCGGGTTGTTTTCGTTCAAGCTAGAAGACGAAGAGCAAGGCCGAGCGCGATATCGGGCAACAAAACATTCCGCTGGACCTGTCACGGACGACACAGATTTGGCACAGCGCCCTCTGCTGCTTATGGGGCTTATTAAAATCAAGGGCTGCACTGATTTATTTACAAACTTTTGGGGGGCAACTTCCATTTTGCAAAGAAAAACATGATGCTATTATGAGTGGCGCTGTAATTTACTATTCACAATTCACTTCTAGGAATTCCACAGAGCTATTTATCCACAAGTTCTATTCCAAATTTGTTTTCCCATAATTCTTTTAATTATTTTTTTTTTTAATTATTTCCAAATGGTGGTTAACTGGCTTATAGATTTTTAATACCCTTTTTTTTATTTTGGGGAACAAAACAACATAAAAGTGACAAGCAAAGACCATATAATTTCAAGAAAATCCTTTATTTTTCAGAATTAATGATGGCAAGCAACTTAAACGAGTTACATAAACATTGTTAAAAGGTACAAATAAGCTACTTCAAGCAAAGTAAGAATGTGGAGGCATTTGTTGGATATGGTTCATGATTAGATCAAACGTAAAAAAAAACCGAACGTTTGTTTGCAAACTTGACAAAATCAGTGATGTTGAGTTGAAGTCGATGAGGAGACTATCCTGTCCCTCTCCCCCCCCCCCCCCTTCAAAAATAAAATACATAACACCAAAATCATACATCCCCCCCCCCAAAAAAAAAAATTGCAAACTTTTTCCCCCCATAAAACAAAGTTATACGAGGTGGTTCTAAAACCATGCGTCTCGCCTGTTTTTTAATCGATTTTTTTGAAAGAGTGAATAATCAGGGCGAGACTGGTTGGTGTGCATTGTCAGTTGGCAGTATATTGCGGATGAGAGGGCACTGATCAGTGTAAAAATAATATTGGGTAGTAATGAGGGTGGAATTGTATGAACTGATAAATGCTAATAATTATAGAAACATTACACTGAATTGCCACCATGAAGTGAAGACTCAATTGTCCCGCATTTAAGCTAGGAGGATGTGGTCTGTAAAAATAAAACTGAACTTGCTATGTGACCTTTTAATTGTGACCAATTTAACATTTTCAGGCTATTTCACAACTTGACCTCAGATGACCTTTGTCCTTGGTACGTGACACTTGACATTATTATATGTAGGTTGCCATGTTGCATCTATGACCCAAGTTTGTTTTAATTGGACTTTTTACTTTTGAAAGACACCAATTTAACATTTTCAGCCTCTTTTTACAACTTGACCTCAGATGACCCTCGACCTTGGTGTGTGACCTTTGACATCATCATCAAATGAAGGTTGCCATGTTGCATCTAGTTTAACTCAAAATTTGGTTCCAATTTGATTTCAACATTTCAACTGAGACCAATTGTACATTTTCAGGCTATTTTACTTGACCTCAGATGACCTTTAAATGTGAAAGCGAATAGCGGTAGTGATTGTCTAACATTAATTTAACCATAATATAGGTTTTGAAGAGCACTCCCAAGGAAAGATGGTGTCCAACCCCCCCCCCCCCACCTCACACGCCGCTGTGTACACATGTTGTTTTCGCAATCAATGAAAACATTTTGAGTTGAAGGCAGATGTGTTTACGTCCTCACACATATGACACATAATTCAATAATTCGCTTTCTATCAAGTAATCAGAACAACTTAGTAAAACTTGTCATATATGAACAAGATTTTGAAAAATCTTGCATCAATGTTGAAAAGGTTGATAAAAAATACAACTATTTTGGAGCAACATCTTTTGAACAAGGTGAAAGAATCATATATGATTAAATAACTATATTGGTTACATAAAAACTAAGGTCTAACAAAAGGCTATAGAAATCTAAGTATTTTGTGCAACTTAAAAAAGACATTCAATAATACTTTAAAAAATTTAAACATGAACATGCATCAGAACAATCAAATTAAAGTTTAACCATGTTATGCTGACACTAACATTGTTTTAAATACTCTAACACCTACAAAATGTGAAACCTGTCAGAATTTTCAAAATTGGTAAAAGAAATGCTGAATACACAGAAGTTGCCAAAACAAAACTATTAATACTAAATTAAAACATACTCTATTAATTATAGCACTACCATATACTATAAAAGGAAACTACAAAATAAGGCTGATGATACATTTTATAGAATTATAATGGTAAAAAAAACAACATAGTTATTTTCTTAAAGTTACAAAAAACTGTAAAATGGCAAGCAATGGAAATTTAAAATGCATACGTGTACACATTAACTTTTTTTAAAACAAAAGATTCACTTTGCAGAACAATGGTTTGATTCTGTGGTAGTATACAATTGACTCCTGTTATTTGTTTAAGCATTTTTTGGGTGGGATCAATGATTTTACTTTTATAGAAATACTTTCCATAATTTGCACAAAGCATTCGAAAAAATGACTACAAATAAAATGTGGTCTGTTCAAAGGAGCAACTCTCAATGCAGTGTGCAACCAAGATACAAGAGGACAATTTTTTTTCTGCAGTACATCATGGGATGTAATGTCAACAACAACCACCACCACCAAATAGTAGATCATGCAAAATGGTGTTAATTTTGCTAATTCGAAACACAGAATCAGCATTTCAAACTAGATTTTAGCTCTGCAAATTGTACACTAAATGAAATTTTGCAAGGCTTCTGAATACTTTTGTGTGTGAGGAACTGCATGTGCATGTACATTGTAATAAAACACATGCAACAGCAAGGAAGGGGTGGACAATGCACGGTTGAGATTGGAGGGAAATGAGAAACCTCGAAACAATTTGCAGAGGGTTTGAGGGTAATTACTGAAGGCATGTAGAGATACATGTTTGTATACATTTCCTTAAAGTTAATACTTAAATACCAATTTATTTTGGAGAGTATAAACTTTATATATCTTAACGATAAAACATCAGGAATTTAGTATTTCAAAAGGAATTCTTTAAAAATCCTAGCAAAATCTTGAAATTGGGGAAAATCCTAACAAAATTCCTGAAAAATCAGGAAAAATCCTGACAAAAAATCCCGAAATCAAGAAAAATCCCAACAAAATTCCGGAAATCAGGAAAAATCCTGACCAAAAACCTTAAATCAGGGAAAAATCCCGAAAAAATTTTTAAATCTGGAAAAATACTGACAACCTGACAAATAGGCCTAATCCTTAAATCAGGAAAAGTCTCAACAAAACATCATGAAGTCAGGAAAAATCCTGACAACAAAATCCATTAAATCCAGATAAAAAATTGTGAAATCAGGAAAAGTCCTGAAAAAATATCCTGAAATCAGGAACATTGATACAAATCTCAATCGACAATGAAAATCAAAAAGTGGTCCAAGGTTGAAGCTTGACTAATGATAGGTGTTGCACAAGTTTCCACATTTTCAAACTTCACAAATTTTTGAAATCTTTTTATCATGTTTTCAGTGTTTGGTATAAAAGGTTCACAAAATAGTATCACAAGGAAATTCTGATTAATCAGGTAAAAAAAATTACTAAACTGAACAATATTAAGTACGTGTTCATGTTGAAAAATAAATACAAAAATAAACTCCTAGAAAATGTGGCTGATATCAACCCGACCTCTTTTGGTCCCTTTTGCTCAGGCAAGAAAGTTAAATCTTTTAACAGTAGAGGCACACAGTAACTTTATAACTAAACAATTTCGTATAGTATTTGTGCATTCAGTTAGATCAAGTACGTGCATTCCTTCAAGGTGGGCAAGTTTGATTTTTTAAAAACCGGGCAACAATTTTGTTTCAGCTATTTTGTATATATGAAGTAAGCTGTCCACACACTTTGACAGTACAAACTCTTTAAAAATACATGTATTGAAACTTTTGCTTTATTAGAATTGTGAATAACAAAATCAATGGAAAGATTGATTGGAATGTTCTTATTATACAAGAAACTTTCCTTTATACTATTTTTTTTTTTTACAAAATGATATTCACATTGTTAACCTTATCATCAACATGTGAAAATAAAGACAATTGTCACAGGTTTATCTCAAGCATTGTCTGAGGACCTATGTCGGTTCGTTGTAAATGACGGAACTTTGCTCAGAATAAAAATCACACAGATAGCAGAAATTAAAGTTGGTCCTTTCCTCTAGAAATTCACTCTGTTATTATATCATCAACACATCATAAATCGTCAATGTCAACAGTGATTGGTCAAGAATCAATTATAAAGGAATCATCAAAATCCAAAATATCATACGTGTGACTTTTCAGTGGTGTAACGATTCAAAACAACAATGCAACAAAAGTTAATTTGGAAAAGACCAAGAATATCAAAGGATATGAAAACAATATGCAAAATCTCAGATCATCTGCATCCAAAGAAAAGAATTTGCAAAGTACTCAAGGTCAACAAACTTCAAATTTGGTGAAAGTCAAAAGTCAACAAGTATGCATAGGTTCAGCATGAATAAATACAAACAAGCGCAATGAAGTCAAACCACTGAAACATCAACACGAAGAATAGCAAACATCAATGAATACATCAATAAAATACAACAAGGAATTTTATACAATAGTATGATTATAAGATCTTAGCTGGGTTCAAAGCGTCGCGTTGGAACTCGTCTTGATTTGCCGATGCGATGTCGTACTTGGATGGGGTCCAGGTAGAGCAGCAGCGTCCAGGCGAAGTCCAGCGAACGGTGGTCCAGACGGAGAAGGGTGGTGGTGAGAAGCAGGAACAGGCCGGGCGAAGAATCGAACCGGGTCGACTCCTCAAAGCGTGACCTGGGGACTCCGTGTTCTGATCAACAAAGCACGTTTGCAAATGATGCGAGGGAAAGTGTTAGGAACGTTTCTCACGAGAAAATGACTTAGTGAAGTCCGCAATCGTTCCTAGGCTAACTTATCAAAAGTGCTAAGAGTAGCACTCTAAGATATTCTCGCATCGAGGTCTTCTTCGCTTCTTATTTAGAACCAACTTTGTATTAAAATTACTAACTACAAAAAACATTAAAAACTGAGATTACAAATAGTATTAAGTAAGCCAAAATAGTCTAAAAACTAATAAAAGACTAAAGTTTATGGTGTTCACCCAGAACATTATTCTAAGTCAGAAACAAGAATCGGAACAAGGAAGTGTTTTGTACATATGCATGCTTGAGACATGAGATTGGTCGTGTGGGGGGCAAAGGGCATGATTGCTCATATATCCTCAACCGCAACCGGTCGTAAGACACACTAACTTAATGGAATGGGATGCGTGAAAAACCTTAAACCAGTGATCATCTCGAACCATTTTTGGGCCGAGATTAGAACACTGGCTAAATAACTTGTGCACAATACATCAGAGTTATGAGCATTGTCCATGAAAATAAAAGTTTCACAACGGCTCATGATCACTTGGACATGCACTCAATGTTTTAGCCAAAAAGACAGTGTGGGTGTGGGCACTGACCCTACTCAAGGTCAATTAGGGATACAATTACACAAGACACTCAGTCCCATGTCCGTGGTAACAGACTAGTAAGAAATAGCACAGGTGGTTAAGATCAGAACAGAATCATAGTGGTACACAATGAATGAGGGATGGAAATAAACGGCCTCATCAAGAGTTTGCTTAAAATCATGAACTGAAAATACTTCAACATAAGATTACAAGGAAATATAGAATACACGAATAACACTTGAAACTAAAATGCAGAATTATCAAGTACAAGTTATATACAACTATCTAACTGACCGAGGCAGTTATTCTGAAATCAGGCAAGGATTCGGGTTACATGAAAATTGGTCAAAAACTTACGATCAATTCAGTGATAAAAACCTACATCGTATAACGGTAATGATAAGAATTGGAAAGTGAATAAAAGGATTATAGAGCAAATATCTACACTAAAATATACATACAGCATACATAGTGAATCAAAATTTGGCAATCATATTATTAATGGCTGCAACTCATGCTGGGTGTGAAGCTGTCTCGAAATTATCCATAGGCGGGACAATTCTTATACTATCACAATCATCAAAATTATATACAAGTGGATTATACAGAAATAAGAAAAACATCGGCTTACCTGATCAACAAAGCACGTTTGCAAATGATGCGAGGGAAAGTGTTAGGAACGTCTCTCACGAGAAAATGACTTAGTGAAGTCCGCAATCGTTCCTAAGCTAACTTATCAAAAGTGCTAAGGGTAGCACTCTAAGATATTCTCGCATCGAGGTCTTCTTCGCTTCTGAAGAATTGAGGTGGAGCAGGGGTTTAAAAGCCCCTACTGATCACGCGCTCGGACAGGTTTGGGAAAACTTTCCAATTGGTCAAAAAGCTAAAATAATGATATCATCTTCGGAAAAGCCAATCAGAAAAGGAGTAGTGGGCTAACATTCTTGAGGGAACGTGGCCAGCTTGGGATTGACCAATCTGGTCCTCCTTTTATGACTCAATGGTCAACGTGATCGAACTTCCTTGAATTGAAAAAATGGACACTGCGAACTTTGGAAGGAAAAACTTAGATTCGTGGAGTGACGCAATGTCTTAGATGTCCTTCTGAACAGGACGTGGTCAGCGCGGAGGAGGCCCGCTTACTAAGAATTCCAACCACACACCGTGGGAAAGGGACAAACAACTTGTCGGACCAAATTTTAAAATGGTTCCTAATTTAACAGGGTCCGACACAATTAAGCTGCATCTTTTATGATGTGGCATACACTTGTAACTGTAACCAAAAAAAAAAAAAAAAAAAATGGAGGGCACATAAATCCTATTCTTGATGTCTTCATTCTTCAAGTCATTTCTTTCAATCAGTGAAAGTCCCGGAGATTGTTGCCCAAGGACTTTAATTGGTGTGGACTGTCTTGTCACTCCTCATTTGGTCTTTTTGGGAATGCCTGGGCACTTACTCTTCTTGGGAAAGCCAATGACCAGTGCTGACTGCAGGTACAGACTTTCAACTTCACCTCCCTCAGTCCAGTTGCCGCAGTACCTACCTACTCTGGTATTTTCACTGATCAAGACATGCTCCCTGCTCCATTCTTTGACAAACAGTACCGAACTGGAGAAGACACGTTCAGGCTTGGGACCCTTGTTATTCATGTAGTCCACGAGTTCTTGGCTGAAGGCGAAAACGTCGCGCTGATCGTCACATTCAGAGATATCATGTGTGTCCCTCACCTTTTCATGAACAAGAACTGTTAACAGGCAGCACGTCAAGCCCCTGGCTGCCAGACCGTCATAGAGGATCTGATCGCAGCCTTTGAGGTTGCCAGCTGCCAGGGCCGCCATCGTGTATTTGTGCTGAAGGAAAATGCCAAAGTACCCGAAAGTGGCAGAGTCAAAGACCTTACCATCCGAGACAACATTTCGGACAGCGGAGGCAATGCCATTCAGTGTTGGCTCATTGTCGGCTTCAAGCATGGGGCCCGAGGAGAAACTCTCACTTTGGCACAACCCAGATCCACTAACATAAGATGCTCGGTCCTGTTTGATGATGTTATAGGTGATGGTGATGCGACTACCTTCCTCAACAGGCAGGATTTCATGGACGCAGTCCGAGTAGAAGGCTGCCCACTGAATCTTTGACTGATCATCAGACAGGCTTGCAAAGAGGAACTCCTCCTTTGTCCCTTTATGCTCGACTGTCAGGGCTCCTCCAGTGTGTTTGCAGGGCAGGCACACAACCACCGTCCCAATCATCTGAGCTGCATCAACAGGCGTATCAACGTGTGCATTGAAGAAGCCACCTTTGCCGTACACATTCAGCTTGTAGCACTGGAGAACAACATCTTTCCCATTTGCAAGACTCTTGCTCACCTTCTCCCTGATGACACTCAGAAACTGTGGGGTGCAGTCGACCAGACCCTGCGGGGAGGCTTCTAGCTTTGTTTTGTCACCAGGCTTGGGCTTTTGATGAGACTTCCTGGCAAACTGGAACTTAGCAGCTTCGCACTCAGACGCCAAGCGCACACTGGGATTATACACCGTCTCCCCCTTCTTGAGGTCTCCGTAGGGAGAAGGCGTGCAGAACTCCAGAAGGCTGTCAACAGTGAGACTAGTGATTTGCCATCCTAGCGGATTGGTGGCATCTTCTTTCACCTTCAGTCTGGTGTGAGCATCAGCATGGCTCAACTTGATCCAGCCACCACAGCAAAAGGTTCTCCGCTGCCCCAGCATCTTGAGGTTATCAAGAAGGTTTTGGACACTTCTCCGTTCCACCATGATGTCGTCTAGGAATTCCCCAAGTAGCTCTCCGCGCCGAGCAATGTTCCACCAGGTGCTCAACTTGACCTTTTTCTTGGCCTCTTCATAGTCAGCAAGAACTTCAGCCATGACTGGACTTTGTAGTGTGTTTGAAGTAACAGCAGCAATAGAACCCAGACGGATACAACTGAAAAACAACAGAATGACAAAAAAAATGTCATGACATTTTTGGGCCGAGATTAGAACACTGGCTAAATAACTTGTGCACAATACATCAGAGTTATGAGTATTGTCCATGCACATGTTTGATAAACGATTGGGGAACAGTCCTCTAATTTATGTTACATATGCCCCCCCCCCCCCCACCCACCCCCCAAAAAAATTGTGTGTTTATAGCAACAACCTAAAAAGTGTCATCCAAGTAGATAGGTACATGTGGGGAAATAATTTTATTTTGCAAGTTTTGTATGCTTGTCGGTCAGCCTTTTAATATTAACTTTGTTTATTTAAGGATACCTTCAATGATATTCAGAATTCTGTTTGATGACCTTGTTTTTAATAGATTCATTTTTCGCACAGGGAATACATTACATGTATTTTAAAAATGTAGAGCCTACTTAAGTTTTCATTTTTGGCCAAATGTGGCGATAACAAGTTTGACGTTGGCATTTTAGCTGGAAATAATCCAGGTGGGTTGCATTATCATAAACACACAATTTTTTTTGGGGGGGGGGGGGGAAGGGGGCCACAGAAACAGCCAACCTCTTTTTGCAAACCACTTCCATCCTTTTCTCTCACGTCCCCACGGCTCCAACATATAGCTCGAAATAACGTCACCATGTCAATTTTGTGTAAATTACAAAGCTACCTCTCCAACCCCCCTCCCCCACTCCCAAATAACCACAAGCGCATGCTAAGTTATAATCTTGTGTACCTCCTGTCAGCGCACGTACATGTTTTGTTTCAACACACAACTGGAATACAATGAAGCAACACACTGTTTAAACTAGTTCAAACATGGTTTAAATGACCAACTCAAAGGACAGTGACCAGAGACACCAGAGCATCGATCTTTTGCCCTGCTTTCTACAAACCAGAAATGTATGCTCATTAACACTTTCTAGCCCCCATGCCATCTCGTTAGTAATATTATAATATGCAGACCCAAATTCCTGGATCGACGGAAAGATTCCCATATCTGGCCATTTCCCTTCAGTGACCTAATAATAATATCACCATCAGCATCAGAAAGTGCCCTGAAAAGTTTAACTTAGCAGGGAAAATATTGAAGTAATTTACCAAGAACACACTTAGAAATTTTCAGACCAGTCTCATACTCGGTTTGTGCACAGGGTGACAAGTGATGGCCAGATATATGGAATATTTCCCTAGTTTCCGTTCATGAACATGCAGCAATCACATGGAGCAATGATGCACTGAGCACGTGTAAAGGAGCAGAAAATAACTTAAAGGGAATATACAACATTTGCAAACATCGAAAAATAAAACTACCAAGTTTTTGCGAAATACCTTAATAGGATGTTGGTAAATGACAGTCTAAAGCATCCTGTAAAATTATGGCACCTGGTATACTGTCATTTTCAAGAAAAGTGGTATTTTTGTATCAATTTCCAACGCTGATCGGCCGATCAGCGTTGGAAACAACTGGCTTTTTTTTTCAAATACTGGCCCCAATTGACCATTGCACTTGTTTGCAATCGATTACAAACCTATGAACGGGTACGAGCCAGCTAGACTGGTTCCCTGACCTTACAATTCCCAAATGTATGTAAACTGCTCTGTTTCTTCTTATATGGAGTCAGGGAACCAGACTACAGGAAAATGATCGTTTTTCTTGGTTTTTATAGCATTTTCGAACCCAAAACCTCCAAAAAGTTAGTGTAACTATATTTGCTTTATATTTCAAACCCCCCAATTCCATCCATTTCTGAAAATTACAGCAAAAGCAAATGATGTATATTCCCTTTAAAGGTTTTCCCTAGTTAAAGACGGGTAGCAGATCTAAAACTAGGGAAAAATTTTAAGTTATTTTCTGCTCCTTTACACACGCTATGCAAGCTTTCTCACTCAGTTTCAGAAGTGTGTCACACCATGAGTCTGTTATGGCTCCATGTCTCACCAATCCCACATGTACTTGGAAGTCGATGGGATCCGGTCAGCCCGGCTGCTATAGGTTCAGATCACCTTGTCAGCAGGTAGGTAGGTAATTGCGTCGTGCACCCACAGTCCACACAGGAATCGGTTAGTCGACTCTAGCCGACTCGCCCCACACAGGAATCGATTCGTCAATCGTGAGTCCAATCCACACAGGATTCTTGAACTCAGTTGTCCACTAAGGACCTCTGACCTTGACCTCATGAAGTTCCCCACAGGGAAAAAGCCAGTTTGCAGGATAAACTGGCTTTTAAATCATTGGGCCACGCCCTGGTACACACAGTACCACTGTATATACATGTACTTGTACATGTACTCCCACAGGACTGCACACAGTGAAGTCTAGAATAGCAGTGCCCTGGGGAATGCACATGGCATCCAAGACCTAACAAAATTACTCAACCAAAGCATTAATTTGCATACTGCATTTGCATAAGAAAGATTTAGCTCTGCTGCACACTCTTGGTAGCCTCAATTCTGGATGGGGGAGAATTAAATTAACTTGTGCTAAAATAAATGTATAAGTGAAAATCCCATAATTAATTACTTGAATAAACACAATGATAAATACAAAAATTGAAACATTATTTAAAAATATAAATCACACTTTGTGACAAAGTGTATCTCTTCTCATTTTATAGTTTTGATTATCATCAAAACTTTCCTTACCTCGATTTCAGTTGGTTGAAAGCAGTGAACTTAAGGCAAGCCCGAGTTCGATGGACACTTGGTAGGAGGGCCACCAATAGCATGAATGATACTTCGCGAGTTTGCGGTGTTTAATAACAACTCAGTCCAAAGTAGGCTACTTCTTGTATTGTAAATAGCTGCCTTGTCTGGTTGTGTGCATGTGTGATGTGCACTACTGTAAAACGCGCGCTTCTATGGAACGCCAAAGAGGCATTAAGTGATCATCGAACCGGTGATACACTTTTGCAATCGGTGATGCATATTCATGATCGGTGATGGACTTTCGCGATCGGTGATGGACTTTTACTGGTGATGTATATTCACGATCGGTGATGGACTTTCGCAATCGGTGATGGACTTTCACTGGTGATGCATATTCACGATCGGTGATGGACTTTCGCAATCGGTGATGGACTTTTACTGGTGATGCAGTCACGATCGGTGATGGACTTTCGCGACCGGTGATCAACTTTGCAATCGGTGATGGACTTTTGCAATTGGTGATGGACTTTTGCGACCGATGATCAACGACCCATCACCGATTGCAAAATCCATCATCGATCGCCAAAGTGCATCAGTTATTGAACGTGCATGCCGCTGTGGCTTAGGGTTTCTCGTGTTACCCCTGACGGTGATATTTGTTTACGGTGTTTTTGTGTTGAAAGTGTCTTTCTCATATGTGAACTGCATTTTTTTTTAAATTAATGTGCGTAAAATGTTTGTGGTGTATGCCGCTGTGGCTTTGGGCTTTGGTGCTGCCCATATTGCAACCGGTAAATGCCCAATCGATGGTATCCGGAATAAAAACACTCCTCTGTGGATGTGGCATAAACTCAATGATCTGTTTTTATCCAATAAATGGTAAAAAGGTTTTTGCACCTGATGATTGATGGGTGGGCCATCGGAGACAGCATATGGCGGGGTTATTGGGGGGCCTGACCAGGCATCTAGGGGGCACAGGAATGCAATCACATCATCATCATCATCATCATAAATCCATCTAATAGCCAATGTTGGTATAGATATGTGGGGCCTCTGGTCACTTAAGCACACTTAAGCGAGCACAAGTCATGATGGACAGTACACAGAGGAACTTTCCTTGCAAATGTTTTTCCACCACCACCCCTTACATCTGCCAGTTATAGTGCTCCAAGGTTTCAAGAGACTATACAAATTACAAGGATTAAAATGTTCGCTATTTTTAGGATACAGACAGCCTGCTCCTCATATTTATGGGGCAAATGAAACCATTCAATCCCTTGTTTTTCTATTTTGTTAGGCTAATTTGATACTTGCCGTAGCGATCTCACTGTGTCACGAGGCTATGATGTTTTCCTGACTGAATGTACATCTGTGGGAAGCTATTTTTTGTTATTTAAGTTTAATTTGCATTTTTTGTCATTTATTGCCACATATATCTCATTTTCATATAGGCCTACATGTATTTCATTTATTGTCAAGCATATTGTGTATGCCGTGGCTTTGAGTCTCCGCTGTTGCCCACTACGGTTTGGTGTTGCCGTTATTAATATAACCATAACAATTGATAAGTCGACCGGTTTTCCCTATCATTGGTAATGTGGCTATAAAACACAACGATTTGTGCGTCGCCAGAAATTTTTGGCAGAGGGGCAAAACATTTTTCTCCCCGAAATACCTGGATTTTTCCAGCATATTCACGATTTATCATTTCTCGAGGGTGGGCATTTTTCAAACAGTATTACTTCGCACCCCTTTTTCTGTCTTCTTCCCCCATCTTTTTTTTTTTTTTGGGGGGGGGGGGGGGGCTTTTCCGGGGGGGGGTGCCCCCGTGCTCCCCCCCCCCCTTGTGACGCCCATGGGTGATGGTCTTTCACGATCGGTGATCAACCTTGCATGGACTTTTGCTATCGGTGCAGAGGTTTTTTTTATATTATCAAAGTAAGTGGGTGAAAATATCCCAGGCTACCCCCCCCCCCCCAAAAAAACCCCACTTTCTTCAACTTAAATATGCTGTGATTTCTGGGCGACGGAGGCTGCCGGCGTCATGGGCAGACTAAGCTTTGTTTAGGTTGTCGGTACATAGGTAACTGTTGCGGTTGTACTCCTATTGGTAAATGTTAGTGTGTTTTTATTTATACATTATTCAATATTTTCCTTTGATAACTCCGATGTTTAAAAAGACTGCGCACACCGGTGAATAATTTATTATTCATTAGTTAAAGAATAATGTAACCAATTGGGTTAAATAGCGAATGTCTGTTCTGTTTGTGCACTATACAATTGACAAGGCCACTTGCTCGAAAAGATCTCGGAAGTTGCGGCTCGATTGTAGACCGTTGTAGCCTATACATCATGTACATGATGCAGGTATGTTCTTAAAATTGAAAAGGATTCCATTATTTTGCTGAACGTCAGTTGGTGCATGGAACGCGTTTGCATGTGGAACACCCAATTTGTGAGCCCCCATGTAAAAATGATTGACCTCGATCGTGCCCCAATTCCACGACTGCAAAAAAATGGTAGCTGGTAAGTGGAGACCTGAAGCACGTGTTGTTGCGAGGGCTAAAGGACTATATGATTGATCGCCAAAGAAGACATGGCTGGCACAAACCATAGAGCTAGCTCTGTTTCCCACAGTGGTCTTAGCAGATTGAGTACCATGCTGCATTACAAAAATGTACACATCGAATCATTGCTCTTTGGAAAAAACAATGATAATATTTTCTAATCTTAAAAATGATTAATCTAAATTTAACTCTTATCAAACACACACACACCATGGTTCGAAAATTACATCGGTTACGTGGAAGTAAAATTTATCAGATTTTCGCGAATGGTATTAAAAAAAAACAGAAGAGCAAAATAAAGGCTCTGCGCATCTGCAATTAAATTTAACTTGCTCCAGAGCAAGGAACATAGATAAGTATAATACGTGCAAAATGATTACGACGCAACACACAGATGCGACGGTCGTGAAAGACCATCACCGTTTCGGTGATCACATTAAATGCCTCTTTGGCGTTCCTGTTTCGCCAAAAGCGGCATTTAATCGGTGATGGACTTTCGCAATCGGTGATGGTCTTTCGCGATCGGTGATCAAAGCTGCGATGGCCAGTCGTTGAGTAAAAGTCCATCACCGATTGCGAAAGTCCATCACCGATCGTGAATATGCATCACCAGTAAAAGTCCATCACCGATTGCGAAAGTCCATCACCGATCGTGAATATGCATCACCGATTGCAAAAGTGTATCACCGATTCGATGATCACATTAAATGCCTCGTTGGCGTTCCATACGCTTCCAACTCCAGGCACACGTGCACATCATGCTGATAGCATGCAGGTACGTGCATGTACATGAGAACGTACACATGCACCCGGGTACGTGACCATTCGATCACGTTGACAGAGGGCAGCAATGTTACAAGTCCCTGGATACGCGTTCAGACTGAAACGAAACTTCTACTTTATTTTCTGAGAAACAGTTGGAATGATAATATGCTTTGCTAAGCACTCGTTTATCCTCTTATCTGCTTCATTGGCCCTAACCACAAGGCCCAAGGGAATATCTCTTAATCTCAGTGGAGCTGGGGAGAGGGGTGGGACAGCTAAATGGAAGGGTGGGGTAATGGAAGTGGTGGTGGGCGGCGAGGGTGGAAATTGAAACGTTGTTACTGTTATCGGTTTGGTAATAGTTGCTTGCATTTAGCAGCCTTCTCTGAGGGGTTTGGTTTAACTTTTATTAACTCAAAACAAGGCACGAACAATAAAATTAGTCAGATGAATTTTTTTGGGCGCCGCTGTGTACACATGTTGTTTTCATAATCAATTAAAATACTTTGAATTGAAGGCAGATTATGTGTAGACATCCTCACACATATGACACATACATGTACTTCATTAATTCACTTTTATCAGTACAACTTAGTAAAACTTGTCAAAGATGAACAAGATTTTAGAACAATCATGCATCAATGTTAAAAAGGTGGAGGACAAATACTAACTCATTTTGAAGCAAAATGTTTTGAACAAGGTAAAAAGACTGAATCATGCTGATTAAATATCTATATAGTTTACATAAAGACTATAAGGTCTAACAAAAGGCTATAGAAATCTACTTATGTTGTGCAACTTAAAACTAGGCATGCAATAATACTTTCAAAGATTTAAATATGAATACATCAGAATAATCAAATTTAAAGTTTAACCATGTGTCATGTTGACGCTAACATCACTTTAAATACTCTCACACCTACAAAATGTAAAACCTGTCAGAATTTTCAAAATTGGTCAAACAAATTTATGCCATGCTGATTATGAGGGCTGAGTTCTTGCAAAACCCTAAACAAAATGCCAAATACACAAAAGTTGCCAAAAGAAAATGATAAATGCTAAATTAAAACAAAAACTATTGTAGCACTACCACATATACTATAAAATGAAACTACAATTAAAATAAGGCTGATACATTTAATAGAATTAAAACAATGATTACAAAAATTATGCATTCTCTCAAAGTTACAAGAAACTGTAAAATATGGCAAGCAAGGGAAATTTAAAATGCATACATGTACATGTTAATTTTTTTAAAACAAAAGATTCACTTTGCAGATTTATGGTTTGATTCTGTGGTAGTATACAATTGATTCCTGTTATTTGTTTACGCATTTTTGGGGGTAGGATCAATGATTTTACTTTTATAGAAAAACTATGTATAATTTGCACAAAGCATTCTATCCATCTGTACGAAAAAATGACTACAAATATAATTTGGTCAGTTCAAACATCAAAGGAGCAACTCCCAATTAGGCCATCAGCCTGGGGTTTGGTCATCCGCAGTGTCAAATCAGGGCATAAATGATCATAGTGCGCATGCGCAAGGTATACCGCCCCAAGAGTGGTAACAAGTATTTTGATGGACATTTTTAAAAAAGGGTGATAACACCCAAAAAGCTGCCACCGCTGCAATGCTATCACATATTTTCCAACTCTGGAGGTGTACACCTTGCCAAAAATTGCTGTGACGATTATTCCCCTCATTTGATACCGGTGGCCAAAATTTCGGACTGAGGCTGATGGCCTAAATACATTGTGTGACCAAGATACAGAACCGTGAGTTTTTTTCTGCAGTACATCATGTAATGTCAACAACTTTTAGTAGATCATTTAAAATGCAGTTAAACTTGCAAGCATCACAAACTCAGCAGTTCAAACTGGACTTGGCTCTGCAAATTGTGCAAAATGATTGCTGCATGTACATTGTAATCAAACAGAAGAATCAACAAGGGAGGAGTCAACAATGTAGGGATCAGATTAGGAAAAAATTAGAAATCTGTAAATACAATTTAATTGGCAGAAGATTTGAGGTCACTAAGGCCATGTAGAGTCTTTGGTACATGAACATGTTTATGGTATAAATTAACCTAAAGGTACCCCTAAAAGACCATTTTCTTTGGTCGATATAAACTTATATGTCAACCATTTTTACTGTAAATCATCAGGAATTTGGGTATATAATTTGAAAAGGCAATTACAAACTTACAATTAAATTGTTAACCTTATCATCAACAAGAGGAAATTAAAAATCCTGACATCAGGAACAATCCTAGCTAACAGTTCTGAAAACAGAAAAACTACTAAAACTTCTTAAAATCAGGAAAACAACGAAATCCTGAAATCACTATCAGGGACAAAAAACTTACAAAAATCCAGAAATAAAGAAAAATCCTCACAAAGAAATCCTCACAAAGAAATTCTGAAATCAGTAAAAATATTAAGAAAAATCCCTAATTCAGGAAAAATCCAGACAAAAATCCTTAAATCAGGGACACTCCATACAACAAAATCATCAAATCAGGAAAAATCCTGGAAAAAAATCCTGAAATCAGGAAAAGTCCTGATAAAAACATTTGTTAAAATCAGAAAATGTCCCCATAAAAAAAATTCCTGATACGAGGAAAAATGTATAAAATGTCACCCGACAATGAAAATCAAGCAGTGGTCTCTCCAAGGCTAATGCATGATTAATAATATGAGTTGTGAATAACCCCTAAATGTTTTCAAATTTGAAGTCCTTGAAGTCTTTTCATGTAGAATTTTCAGTTTATATACCGGTAGGTAGAGCCACACATAAAAAACATGTAGTATCACAAGGAAATTTTGATTAATCAAGTAAAAATAATGACTTAACTGAACAATATATGTAGTTCATGTTGAAAAACATACAAAAATATACTCCTAGAAAATGTGGCTGACCTCTTTTTGGTCCTTTTTACTCAGGCAAGAAAGTGACTTAAAATCTTTAAAAGTGACTTAAAATCTTTAAAAGTGACTTAAAATCTTTAACAGTATGAGCACGCAGTAACTTCAGAACTAAACAATTCTTATAGTGTTTGTGCATTCAGTTAGATCAAGTACGTGCATTCCTTCAAGGTGGGCAAGTTTGATTTAAAACGGCAACAATTTTGTTCATTTATTTTGATAAATGAAGTAAGCTGTCCACACATTTTGACAGTATAAACTCTTTAAAAAGTACGTGTATAACTTACAATTGTCAATAACAAAATCAATGGAAAGATTGATTTGACTGTTCTTATTACAAGAAACTTTCCCTTTATACTTGTTTTTAAAAAATGATGATCAAATTTTTAACTTTATCACTGAACATGTGAAAATAAAGACAATTAGGCTACATCTTTTATGATGTGGAAGACCCTTGCAAGTAAGGTAATCAACTTACAAAAAAATGAAAAATAGAAGGCACAGAAATCTTTTCTTGCCATTTCGGAAAGATTCCCAGATCTGGCCATCACTTGTCACCCTGTGCACAAAACGTATGAGTCTGGTCTAAAAGTTTCTAAGCTTTTTCCAGTAAATTTTTCAATATTTTCCCTGCTAAATTGACTTTTTAGGACATATTATTATATACTTTCTGATGGCTGATAGGTCACTGAACGGAAAAATTAGTGATGGCCAGATATGGGAATCTATTATCTTTCCGTCATTTCTTTCAATCAGTGAAAGTCCCAGACATTGTTGCCAAAGGACCTTGGTGTGGACTAGTTATCTTATCGCTCCTCATTTGGTCTGTTTGGGAACGCCTGGACGCTTACTCTTCTTGGGAAAGCCAATGACCAGTGCTGACTGCAGGTACAGAGTTTCAACTTCATCTCCCTCGGTCCAGTTGCCGCAGTACTCACCTTCTCTGGTATTTTCGCTGATCAAGAGACGCTCCTTGCTCCATTCTTTGACGAACATGACCCAACTGGGGTAGACACGTTCAGGCTTGGGACCCTTGTTATTCATGTAGTCCACGACTTCCTGGCTGAAGGCGAACACATCGCGCTCGCCGGGCTCACCATCAAAGAAGTCATCTGTATCGTACCTCTCCACTTCATGAACGAGAACTGTCAGCGGGCGGCACGTCAAGCCCCTGGCTGCCAGACCGTCATGAAGGACCTGATCGCAGCCCTTTAGGTTGCCAGCTGCCAGGGCCGCCATCGTGTATTTGTGCTGAAGGAAAATGCCAAAGTACCCGAAAAAGGCAGAGTCAAAGACCTCACCATCCGAGACAACCATTCGGACAGCAGAGGCAATGCCATTCAGTGTTGGCTCATTGTCGGCTTCAAGCATGGGGCCCGAGGAGAAACTCTCACTTTGGCACAACCCAGATCCACGAACAAAAGACGCTCGGTCCTGTTTGATGATGTTATAGGTGATGGTGATGCGACTACCTTCCTCGACGGGCAAGATTTCATGGACGCAGTCCGAGTAGAAGGCTGCCCACTGAATCTTTGACTGATCGTCAGACAGGTTTGCAAAGAGGAACTCCTCCTTTGTCCCTTTATGCTCGACTGTAAGGGCTCCTCCAGTGTGTTTGCAGGGCAGGCACACAACCACAGTCCCAATCATCTGAGCTGCATCAACAGGCGTGTCAACGTGTGCATTGAAGAAGCCACCTTTGCCGTACACATTCAGCTTGTAGCACTGGAGAACAACATCTTTCCCATTTGCAAGACTCTTGCTCACCTTCTCCCTAATGACACTCAGAAACTGCGGGGTGTAGTCGACCAGACCCTGCGGGGAGGCTTCCGTCTTCCTTTTGTCACCAGGCTTGGACTTTTGATGAGACTTCCTGCCAAACTGGAACTTAGCAGCTTCGCACTCAGACGCCAAGCGCACACTGGGATTATACACCGTCTCTCCCTTCTTGAGGTCTCCGTAGGGAGAAGGCGCACAGAACTCCAGAAGGCCGTCAACAGGGAGACCAGTGATTCGCCATCCTCGCGGATTGGTGGCATCTTCTTTCACCTTCAGTCTGGTGTGAGCATCGGGGTGGCTCAACTCGATCCAGCCACCACAGCAAAAGGTTCTCTGCTGACCCAACATCTTGAGGTTATCAAGAAGGTTTTGGACACTTCTCCGGTCCACCATCTCTTCGTCAAGTGTTTTCCCAAGCTGCTCCCCGCGCAGAGCAATGTTCCACCAGGTGCTCTCGTACATCTTGACCTTTTTCTTGGCCTCTTCATAGTCAGCAAGAACATCAGTCATGACTGGACTTTGTAGTCTGTGCGAAATAACGGCAGCAATAGAACCCAGACGGACACAACTGAAAAACAACAGAATGACAAAAAAACTCATGACAGTTTGGGCTGAGATAAGAACACTGGCTAAATAACTTGTGCACAATACATTGAGTTAGGCCAAAACAAATAATAATATTTCTGCTTCCGGTTACCCGACCGACCCTAATTTTAGGCTGCGACCCTAAAATTTTTATCGGCAATTCACAAAAAAATAATAATAATGATTGAATAAATAAAAATAAAAAACCTGTTGTCTTTTCTGTCTTCACCAAATATCTCTCAACAACCCTTTTGCGTCAAAAAAAATGCTTGTATTTATTTGTTTTCTTACTTACATTCGCTATTTTTTCAAAAGAAACCTCCGTTATTTTTACAAATTTGCTTCGCGAAACTTCTTCGCAATTTGATGTCACGGTGACTTATAATCACGCGCGTAAACTTTGCTCAATGCGGCGACGACTGGTTCGCGCCGCGCAGGGGCCAATTTAGAAGACATGATAAAAATGCGGTAACTAGTCTGTGCACGGCTATGCGATCGATAGCACTAGCATGGCTATGAATTCGGCATGTGCACTGTCATGTCAACTGGTCCGATTCGACATCGTAAAAATGCCAAGAAAACACCGATGGAGAAAGAAAATTTTTGCAAGTTAATTCACAGAATTGATCTAGCTTGTCTATGTATGTATTTTGCGTGTTCAACAGTTCATTTTGAGATCGCACTACTCGTATTTGACGTGATACATGCAGCGTGTTTCCCAAAATTTTTGACCGTAAAAACGAGGTCTGTTGGCCGCGCGCCTCACATGCACAGTGCATCACACACGTCAGAGTTTTGGCCAGCTTCCCGTCTTGAGTAGCATTCTGCATATGGTGCGAACGACCTGAATTTTCCATTATTTTTTAACGAATTATCAAACGTAAATATATTGACAATAATTAAGGTAGGTTTCATTCACTTTTTGTGGCCATTTTGTGTATAGCTTTCGTAGTGCAATGGAAATAGTTCAGGCTAAAACTTCGCATACCTTTGCTGTGGCCAAAGGTCAAAGTGCGTTGCACTTGGAGACATGAAAACTCCAACTAACAAACGCACATGTAAATATTCGCCATCTTGTTTTTTTATCACTGTTCAGTCAAGTTACTATTTCGCGTTCATCAAGTTTTCATCCGCTTTCATCGTTTTCCTCTGTGTACATTTTCGTCATCGTCATTCGTAAATATCATCGTCTATTTCGTCTTCGTCTGATGTAAATAACTGTCAGTCTTTGTGAACGTTAGTATTCCCCTTTTCACTGGGAATAAAGCCGAACTGTTGTTCGACGGATCGTATGTAATCCGACGGGCCGTTCCGACATAGTTGCGGTGCACCACCATCGGACTACACCACGCAGCAGGCCCAGGTTCTACTGACGGGCGCAGACATTAGTCATTAGGTGAGTCGGCTTTGCCAAATAACAATCAAAACCCACAACCCTATTCAATTTGCATAAAAAAAATTGGCCAAAAAAAAAATTCCGACCGACCGACCCTATTTTTGAAAGGCATGTAATCGGAAGCAGAACTATATTTTTTTTTGGCCTTATGAATATGAGCATTGTCCATGCATTATGATAAACCATGGAAGAAACAGTCCTCTATTTTATGTTTACACATGCCCCCCCCCCCCCCCCCCCAACAAATTGTGTGTTTACAGTAACACCCTAAATCATTTCATCCAAGTAAGTAGATATGAAAATAATTGTATTAACTTTTTTATGCTTGTCTGTCTGTCTTTTATACTTATTTTGTTTACTTAGGCTACCTTTAATAATAGATTCACCTGTTTAAAAGGCTATTTAAATTTTTCGCACCAGGAATATTTTTTGTATTTTCAAACTATACGTATACTCGACTTAAAGTTTTTTGGCCAGATGTGGTGAAAAAAAGTTTGAGGTCGGCAACAAACTGCAAAAAATCCAGGTATGTCGAATGACCATAAACACACAATTTTTTAGGGGGGGGGGGAGGGAGGGGGCCACAGAAACAGCCCTCTCCTTGCAAACCAATCCTTCCTTTATTTCTCACATTCCCATTACTCCAACATACAGCTAGAATAATAACGTCACCATGTCAATTCTGGGTAAACTACAAAGCTACCTCTCCACACCCCCCACTCCCAAATAACCACAAGCCGACCCCTATTTTGTTTACCTCCTGTCTGTGGTCCTACATTTTTTGTTTCAACACACAACTGGAATACGTGTACAATGAAGAGACGCTGTTTTGTATTAAATTTGTAAATGACCAAATTTTTAAAGGTCAGAGTCACCATGGATCTTTTGCCTTACTTCTGACAAACCAGAAATGTATGCTCTTAATATTTTCAACCTCTTGCCCCTATGGGCTCTGTGCGCCAACGAAAGAGGGCACCCTTTTACCTAGCAATGATGTCCCATGGGCGGGACACTTAGCTGGTTGACACGCACCGTTCCTTGTGTGTGACGCACGTACACCAGGGAATTTGTACTATGTACACGCAGTGGTGCAGTCAGGCAAGATGGCCTCGGTCCGTCACCCCCAACTGTACTTGCTTTGCCGGTGAGGGGCTACTTGTGAACGGAGCGGATATGCCTGTTAGTTATCCAGAGGGATATGGTGATCTATGCACGTGTAACCAGGTTCTCGAGTTTGGAAGATGATTTCAAAGATGAAGATGAAGTGTGCAATTTTTTCTGTTACAACAGACTTTGTAAAATACAGGTAACATGTGCTCTTGTCAGTGGCTAAAACCATGGAGCTATGCTAAAACAAAGCTGTGTGGCTGTGCCTCACATTCCTGGGCCAACCACACTGGTGATTATGAATAAACATTGTGGTGATAAAACAAAGCAACTGGTAGAAAAGGACAATGAAGTAGTACCAGTGGGTATGGAGGTAATTACTTCAGAAGAGGATTGGAATGTGGCAAGGATGTGACTTTTGTAAACGTTTATCAAATATTTTAAGAACCCTTTTAATTACATTTGCCATTCACAAAGGCTGACGCTGTGATCCATGCTTATTATGTCTGCACACCAGGGTGACTGACATGCTATATCAATATGGCAGTCATTGAAAAAAGTTAAATCTTAACTATGTGTGCCCCGAATGTAATCAAAGCATTATTTGAAGTGCTTCCAAGGTTTTGTAAATTAAATGGGTTTGAAAAGAACCAAAGGAGCAAAAGAACAGATTTTCCCACAGTGGTTCTAGGATGAAATAAGTATTGACACAAAAATAGAAACTATAACATACATTCATAAAACAAAGAAAAGAAAGTACTAATTTCAATACTTGGTACATGCTTAAAAATGACAATAAAAAATTCGTGAAAAAGCCCCCCCCCCCCCTCCCAAAAAAGTTATAAGTGCGTCTCCATGAGTAACAATGTGCTGCACTGTCCGCCTATCCGCAACAATCCGATATAACAAAATCTGATTGGCCCCCCCCCCCCACCCCCCAAGAAAAATTCCTGGAAAGAATGTTGCAACCTGACGCTGCTTTTTCCTTCATATATATCATCTCAATGAAGGTCAGTCATTGCAAAAAAGATGATAAGACATGAATTTGGGACTGAGAAACATTTCCAGTTGGTTAGGAAACATTTTCTAGACTCTCCATAGACCATAGACTGTACACAACCGCTGAGGTAGCGTCAGGTTGCAATTAACATTCTTTCCAAATTCCTGGATCTGCCCCTGTATATAAATTATAATGTATATTGCGTAATAATATGGGAATTTATTTGCTCGTCTGGGAAAGATTCCCATATCTGGCCATCACTAATTTTTTTCCCTTCAGTCACCCATCAGGTGAAGTGATTTCATATGTCCTAAAAAGTCAAATTTAGCAGGGAAAATATTGATGTATTTACTGAGAAAACACTTAGGCCTACTTAGGAATTTTCAGGCCAGTACTGGGTGATGGCCAGATATGCCTTGGGAATCTTTCCCTGGTCTGCACCCCTACAAGTACAAGTACAACACTACAGCCAACAACTCAAAAGCCGCCCGTGTCCGTTCAGGAGCAAAGTTACAAGCATAAATGTGGGGCAAAAAGGCAAGAATTAAATGGGCCTCGGCACGATTGCGTGGCCTCGGTATTCTAACGTACAGCGCGGCAATACGGAGGCCACACAAGTGGGGCTATGATCTCATCATGATCTAGCATGTCTAGTGGAGTAGTGCCTTTACTAGCAAGACAGAAATGCATCTCATTCTCATTTCATAGTTTTGATATCGTCAATACTTTCCTTACCTTGATTTCAGTAGATTGAACGTGAAGACATGCCTTGTTGAGGTTAAATGGACACTTGGTTGGAGGGCCACCAGTCTTCGCAGTGGTGTTTAACGAGAAGTTCAGTCTTCAAACTTTAAAGTGCTTCTTGTTTACTGAACCCAAAACTGAAAGCCCGCGCTTCCAGCTCACGTGCACACGTACACGACGCGACGGTTGCAGTAGTATACGGGTTGTGTTTTGATCTGGTGACCGTGCACGTGTTGACGGAGAGAGGGCAGCAAACATTACAAGTCCCTGGATATCTCAATATTAATATTGTCGAACTACCGCGGTTTACAGACTGAGAAAATTATTACAGAACTACTAGTACTAGTCAGATTTTCTGAGAAACAGTTGGCATGACATCTAAGTTGAACTACCGTTCAGATTGAAACAAACTACAACACATCTGCTTATCATATTTTCTGAGAAATAGTTGAAATGATCAATGCTTTGCTAAGCAATCTTTTCCTCTAATAAATCAGCTTCATCAATTGGCCCCAACCACAAGGCCCTGTGAATATCTCGGAGTCTCGATTAGTGGAGGGGAGGCCTTGGACGTGCCCGGCGAAGGGGTGGGGCAGCTAAATGGAAGGGTGGGGGTGGTGGTGGTGTGCAAATTTAGAACTTCGTTACTTCAGTGGTTTGGTAATAGATTGCTTGCATTTAGCAGCCATCTTTGAGGAGTTTGGTTTTATTAACTCAAAACAATGCATGCACGATAAAATTAATCATGTATCCCTGTTGAAAAAAAGGGTTTCTTTGAAATCACTAATATTTCCTGTCGTGTCAATTCAATCAAACAAGAGTATCAAAAAAGTTCCACAGAAGCAAATGGCAATTCAATCAAAAAGTATAAATACTTTTATTATTGTTGCCTATAAGAACAGGCATCAACATCAACATCGGCAATAATATCAACACTAGCTGCTAAAGTTACTTCAGAAAAAAAAGAGTAAACAAATAATTTCTCATGTGAAAACCAGGCTAATGTCTTTTTTAATGCATATTACTATGGATTTTATAAAGCACCATAACCTATTTGAAAATTCCTGTTGATGTACCCTTAAGGAGACATTTTTTGTCATAAATTATACCTTAGGGAGAGACCGGACATTAAAGGGAATATACAACATTTGCAAACATCGAAAAATAAAGCTACCAAGTTTTTACAAAATACCTTACTAGGACGTTGGTAAATGACAGTCTAAAGCATCCTGTAAAATTATGGCACCTGGTGTGAAGTCATTTTCAAGAAAATGGTATTTTTGTATACATTTCCAACAGCGGTCGGCCGACCCCCGTTGGAACTATTTTTCAACTACTGCTCCAACTTTACAATTTTTTCAGTCCAAATTTTGTTTGCTATTGGTTACATGTTCATGAACGGGTGCAGGCCAGCTAGACTGGTTCCCTTGCCTTACAATTTTCCATCATCTATAAATTGATCCATTTTATCTTTTGTGGAGTCAGGGAACCAGACTACTTGAACTTTTTTTTTTTGTGGTTTTTCCAACCTTTTAGAACACAGAACTTCAAAAATGTCAGTGTAACAATATTTGATCTATTATACTAACCTCTCAAATAGTTCATTTCTGAAAATTACAGCAAAAGCCAATGATGTACATTCCCTTTAAGGAGACATTTTTTTGTCATAAGTTATACCTTAGGGAGACACCAGACATTAAGGAGACATTTCAATGTCTCCCTAATGTCACAAATTGTACTGTCCCAAATAGGCTAGATCGATTGCTCATGGTCCCAAACGTAAATCTATCAGAGTTTGTGAGGGTGGGATGAGGGAAACTGGGGTCAGGGGTAATTAAAGTTAAAACAATTTTGTGCACAACCCTATAGGAATGTCCCCCTTAGGTACCATTCCCATAATTTATAATAACTTTTGCCACCCAAAATTAATACATGTACTATGTAGATTCTGGTTAAAAAACTTTTCAGTCGGTGAGAAATTGTAGTTTGTATGAATTAATATCCTTTTACTCTAATCTGAATATCTCAACACTTTCGGCTACAACCAAAACTTTCACAGTTATGCAAATACAAGGCACTGAATCGCTTCAAAATAGAAAACATTTAACACTTTTTATGAAGTGCAAAAGTATGTTCACATGGACGGAGTATTATCAACTTCTGATGACTCTCGTAGGAAAAGATAACAATTTGCTCAGCTTTCCCCAAAAGTCCAACTTATATCTGAGTAGAGAAAACTTTTTTGGCAAGCATTCAACTTTATATATTTACTTTAAAAATAAAAGATATAAAATTTACATGTATTCATGCATCTAAGATAAAACTTACAAACTAATCTTGTCTTCGTGAAGGTTTACTGTCAAATAAACTTATCCACAATAATCTTAACCATGATTGAAACAAAATCTTGATTACAAATTTACTGGAGAGGTTCCTTTCTGTTTTAAAGGGAATATACATCATTTGCTTTTGCTGTAATTTTCAGAAATGGATGGAATTGGGGGGTTGGAAATATAAAGCAAATATAGTTACACTGACTTTTTGGAGATTTTGGGTTCGAAAATGCTATAAAAACCAAGAAAAACGATCATTTTCCTGTAGTCTGGTTCCCTGACTCCATATAAGAAGAAACAGAGCAGTTTACATACATTGGGGAATTGTAAGGTCAGGGAACCAGTCTAGCTTGCTCGTACCCGTTCATAGGTTTGTAATCGATTGCAAACAAGTGCAATGGTCAATTGGGGCCAGTATTTGAAAAAAAGCCAGTTGTTTCTAACGCTGATCGGCCGATCAGCGTTGGAAATTGATACAAAAATACCACTTTTCTTGAAAATGACAGTATACCAGGTGCCATAATTTTACAGGATGCTTTAGACTGTCATTTACCAACATCCTGTTAAGGTATTTCGCAAAAACTTGGTAGTTTTATTTTTCGATGTTTGCAAATGTTGTATATTCCCTTTAACAAAAGATATCTTATATTTCTGAAAAGTTACACGATTGAAATAAAAATATAAATGGCAAGTAAAAGCAAGATATTCAATTCAAACAATTTGAGTTGCATGTGTCCTGTTTTTAAACATGGTAATGGAAGCATCACTTTAAATTCCATCATCCTATTTGAAGGAAAGCTAACAACAGAAGACATCTACATGTATAGAATATCACAGTTATTTCTAATCTTAACGTAACTTTATAACAGTTAACAGCGAAATCAGTCTCCAAAACTTCTCTGAACAAGGAAAACATTGTGATAAAGCATGATCTAATAAGCTCCTGTCACTACTACTACATGTACTATCTAATGCCTCTAAATACACATGCTCCAACAATCTTTGTTAATAACAAAGAGTAACTTAAAACATAACAAGTATGCACTTTAACAAGTTAACAGGTGTCGACGTTATTTTAGCCATAATAAAAGTTAACAACACTAACAGTGGAAGATTTCCTCAATTTTAAAAGTCCCTATTCTGGCCCTTTTTTAATGCCGTCCCCATTTTTATTAACACCAATACATCAAATAAGAAAGAAAACAACTTGAGTTTGCTTTTATCTTTTCAAAGGATTTTACAAAATGTAAAACAGTTTCTTTTATAACTATAGTAAAAACATTTCTATGATTGTCAAAAAATTGCAACAAGATTAAATTCAAAATGAGTGTTAGCTTCTTTCAAACTTTTGCTTGGTGGAATCAAACCACATTACTAGAGGAACACAATTACTTGGGTGAATTAGTCAAAAGCTTTCTTTCAACAATAACTTTCCCGGCACTTTTCAAGGATATTTCCCAAATGTGGTAAAAACAATCTGAGAGTATGTTATGACTCGCTTAAACTGTTTCAAACAAAAATCAGGTCCGTGATAAAAACTGGGATCTACACATTCAGTCCTGCATTCATCCAAATCACATTGCAAAACACAGGAGGGGTTTTCTGTGAATTAAGGGTAGTTTGGTTAAAATATTACTAGTCTTATAATCATTTTTAATCACTACGTTTTTCCCAGTTCGATCCACAATACCAAAGAAGGATGGTCTACCGTTTAGTTGATTCTTTTCTGATTTTAACAAGAATCATGTTTTTCAAGATGGTATGTGTACATGTGTAAATTATGTAATATTAGGTACTGTGGCAGACAGATGTAGCCAGTGTTTCACTTTCAAACGTATCACTGCACTGAAGCCTAAAAGCCCTATTCACACTAGAGAAATTTTGGGTTGACACAGGGTTGATGCAGGGTTGAAAACGTACATCGTTGCACACTTAAAGATTTTTTTTTTTCAACCCTGCATCAACTCCGAGATTGATTTCACCCTGGGATGAACTCAACCCTGCTCACACCAGAGTTGAAATTCTTCCCAAGGTTAGAAACAGTAGTAATTGAGCATGATAAGCTTGATTTGCATGAAACAATTGTGAGACGATGCAAGGTTGAGAAATTAAAAACTCAACATGGGGCGGCACTGGGTTCGTCCATGGTTGAGTTCAACCTGGGTTGAGAGGCTCTAGTGTGAAAAGGGCTTATATACCGGTAGATGATGCAGGTTACTCAGAAGCTGCTGATCCTGGGTCTTTTTCTCCCACTTGAGCTTCCTCCATTGTCTTCCTAGTCTTCTTCATCGTCTTCCTCATCATCGTCTTTCACAGTCTTCCTCATCACTTTCCTCATCGTCTTCCTCATCGCTTTCCTCGTCTTTCACATCAGCATCATCAGCATCGCCCGAGGTAGAGCATCCACGGTTTTCTTCTAGTGGCTTAACATCAGAGCTCTCAGGGATGCCGATGACGACAGTAGACTGGAAATATAGCTGATCCACTGCTCCCGGCTGGGTATAATTTCCGCAGTTCTCCGCATCCGTTTCCTTCCTGTGTACCACGAGCTTGCCTTTGCTCCAGTCTTTGATGAACTCCATGGCCTTCCAAGCAGCATGCTGAGGTTTGGGTCCTTCATTGTTGACGTACAGCATGTCCTCTCGGCTGAAGGCATAGACCCTGCCCTCGTCATCTTCTTCATCCCTGTACAACTCGTCGTACTCGTCAGGCAAGTTCTCCTTTTCCTGGACGAGGATTGTCAGAAAGTGACAAGTCAGACCTCTGGAGGCCAGACCATCGCATAGGACCTGGTCCAAACCCTTGAGAATGCCCTCGGCTAGTGCTGACATGGTGTACTTGTGTCGCAGGAATATGCCCAATTGCTTCCGTCTCTTCTCGGTGATTTTCAGTACATCTGCAACAATGTTGTTCAAGGCTGCATCTTGATCGGCTTTGATCTTCTGGCCTGTGAAGAAGTGCTGATTTTTACAGTAACCATATCCACTTTCAGACCGACTGGGTTTCTTTCGGATGACGTTATAGGTGACAGTGATGCGATGTCCTGACTTTACAGGCAGGATTTCATGCACGCAGTCAGAGTAGAAGGCAGCCCACTGGACCTTCGCCTGATCAGCAGAAAGGTTGGCAAAGAGAAACTCTTTCTTGGCTCCTTTGTGCTTGACAATTAGCTCTCCTCCGGTGTGTTGGCAAGGTAAGCACACAACCACCGTCCCGATCATCTGAGCTGCGTCGACAGGCGTGTCAACGTGAGCACTGAAGAAGCCCCCAGTGCTATAGACATTTAATTTGTAGCACTGTAGAGTGACTTCCTCCTCATTTGCAAGAGAGCAACTCACCTTGCTCCTGATGATGCGAAGAAATCCTGGGCTGTAGTCGACCAGAATCTTTGGAGAAGGGGCTTCCATCTTCTTTCTTTTCCCAGGCTTGGGCATAGGATCAGATTTCTTGACAAACTTGAACTTACTGGCTTCGCACTCGGATGCCAGACGGACATTGGGATTGTACACAGTCTCCTGTTTCTTAAGATCTCCGTAAGGAGCTGGAGTGCAGAACTCAAGAAGCTCTTCCACAGGAAGTTGGGTGATTGGCCATCCAAACTAATTTTTCTTTATATTTGCATGCATCAGGAGCCTGGCGTCAGCATCGTTTTGGATCAGCTCAACCCAGCCGCCACAGCAGAAGGACCTTGGCTTGGTCAGTCTCTCAAGACTGTCCAGGAGGTTCTGGACATGTTTGCAGTTGGTTAAGTTGCTGTTTATGATCTCGCCGAGAAGCACTCCATCTTCAGGAATCTTTCTCAAAGTTTCCTGGTACATCTTGTACTTCTTCTTTGTTTTTTGGAAATCCTCCACAGGATCAGAATGGTAACTCGCCATATTGCTGATTGGCCTCAGTACACAAAATGAGAATCGCCTATTTGAATAACACCAAAAAAAAGAGAAATAGTAAGTAACAAACTACATGTATACATTAAGTTGAACAATACCAGAGCAGACATTGAACCTGTTACCTAAGGATTGCCATTCCAGTATACTAACTGAACTGTACCCGGTCAGCGGTTCTCCATTTTGTCAATGTCTTTGTTCCGGGGGTGCTCGTCAGAAGCCATAAACCTATAAGCCATGTAGCCGGGGAATCATGCTCTCAAGATTAGATGCTGCAAACAGCGAAGTTTTGATTTATAAAAACTGTTATTTGGGGCAGTCCCATATATATCAAATTTCGATCATCAACTGAACATTCAAATAGCTGGTTCGAATATTCGTAAAAATAAGTTGTTTAAGTTTCCACAATAATTCATTCGTACATCGTGGGCAAAAATACCGCAGGACCAAGTATATTAAGTCAATATCAGAATTTTCAATAATCAACATATATATGTCGAAAATATATCGGGAATATTATATTGTTTATCCCATGTAAAAGTTTAAAGGCCACACAGATGGCACTTTGATTTTAAAAAAAAAGTAAACTTAAGGCCAAAAAAAAAAAAAAATTGGTCTCTGGTCAGACCAAAGTTCCAAAATTGATGCGGCGACGCGTTTTTTGTTTTTTGTTTGCCTTTTTTTTTTTTTGAAGCTCGGATTGTACAGACTATTTTGTTTGTTGTGTCCTCATAATTATTGGGGACCTCGATAATTTGCCTTGGTGCCCTCGATCATTTGCCTTGGTGCCCTCGATCATTTGCCTTGGTGCCCTCCATCATTTGCCTTGGTGCTATTTCCCCATTCCTTGGTACAAAAATTTGAGGGGCGGCAATAGAGGGCGCTGCTGTAGCTACCGCGGACAATTTGAAGAAAAAAAAGGTTGACGCGCTTGATTAAAATCGACGCGCGCGCTGACCAGAGACCGACTTATTATTATTTTTGGCCCAAGTCATAATTTCTCATTGCTTTCTCTGAATCATATTGTCCAAACTTTTTAAAACAAATCTTGAGCAGCCCTTTAGAGTTTGTCCAGAATAGGCCTTTTTTTATAGTTTCACATTGGGGAGACCGCGAATTTCAGTGTCGGCAGAGCACAAAGTGATGCTGCTTGGCATTTCATGATTTTTTACTTTGACTGACAAGCCAAAGTTGTCGCTGAGGTTTATTTCATTATACAGCAAATGATAAAGGTAAAGGCAAAAATTGGGGATTCATTTTGATGATAAATAATCTGACGCATATTCGATATGTTTCTTTAATTAATTTCATATTTTAGATTTATTTTGATGATAGATAATCTGACGCATTTTCATATTCCAGTTTTGTTAGGAAATACTTAAAAAATTTCTTGACTCTCCCTAGACCATAGACTTTGAACACAACCGCTGAAGTATAGCGTCAGGTTGCAACATACTCCTAGAACTAGTATGAGGCTCCACGTGGAGCCTCATAGTTCTAGGAGTAGTTGCAACATTCTTTCCAAATTCCTGGATCCGCCCCTGTATTATTTATAATGTATATTGCAATAATAATTTAATAACTGGGAAATTAAGATTCCCATATCTGGCCATCACTAAATTTTTCCTTTCAGTTGCCTAGGCCTATAGCAGGGAAAATATTGAAGTATTTACTGAGAAAACACTTAAAAATTTTCAGGCCACACGGTGTGTGCAAATACTACTGGGTGACAAGTGATGGCCAGATATGGGAATCTTCCCCTGGTCTGCACCCCTACAACTACAACACTACAGCCTACAACTTTACAAGCCAACCGTACCACGTCCGTCGCGTTCAGGAGCAAATTTACAAGCAGACATAAGCTGATAAGTCATGTCTAGTGTCTTTACTGGCAAGACAGAAATGTATCTCATTCTTATTTCATAGTTTTGATATCGTCAATACCTATCCTTACCTTGATTTCAGTAGATTGAACGTGAAGACATGCCTTGTTGAGGTTAAATGGACACTTGGTTGAGGTCACCAGTCTTCAAACTTCAATTTCAAAGTGCTTCTTGTTTACGTTTTATGAAACTGAAAGCGCGCTTCCAGCTCACGTGCACCGTACCGTACGCGCACACATTACATGTACACATGGGTACGTGTTTGACCATTCCTTCCTCCATGGTACCGTGCACGTGTTGACAGTACAGATAGAGGGCAGCAAACATTAAAAGTCCCTGGATATCTCATTGTTGAACTACTGGTACGCGGTGTGTCCAAACTGAGAAAATTATTACACAGACATACTAGTCAGATTTTCTGAGAAACAGTTGGAATGACATCTAAAATAAATTACCGTTTCAGATTGAAACAAAATATTACACATCTACTTATATTTTCTGAGAAACAGTTGGAATGATCAATGATAATGTGCTTTGAGGCCAAAAATAAAAGTCTCCGGTTTCTGGTATGGAGCTTGCCCAAAAAGTGGTGCGGCGACGCGGCTTTTTTTTTTTTTACCTGATTTTTTTGCTTCAAATGTCGGCCGACTACAAATGGTGCCCGACTAAACTTAGTGCAAATATATGGGAGTCCAGAGAGGCCACATAAAGCTTATTCTCGACCATAACCCAATCTAAAAACACGTTAAAATTGTGCAGCAGCAGGATTCCAGTCAAACCAGTGAGTTTGGCGGTTTTGAGACATCATCTTTCATTGAAAAAAAAAACTTTTTCATTTTGCCGACGCGCATGGCTACGGCGACGCACGCGCATACCAAAAACCGGAGACTTTTTTTTTTGGCCTAATCAGCTTCATCAGCAGTTGGCCATGACCGTACCCACAAGGCCCTGTGAATAATTATCTCCGAGTCGAGCCTGGGACATGCCAGCGGAGGGGTGGGGCAGCTAAATGGAAGGTTGGGTGGTGGTAGTGTGTAAATTTAGAACGTTGTTACTTTAGCGGTTTGGCAATAGATTGATTGCATTTAGCAGCCATCTCCGAGGAATTGGGTTTTATTAACTCAAAAGCATGCACAATAAAATTCCATCTTATGAACAATACAATTAATTGCGTATCCCTGTTGAAGAAAAAAAACATTTAACACTTTTTATGAAGTACAAAAGTATGTTCACATGGAAGGAGTAATTATCAACTTCTGATGACTCTTGTGGGAAAAGATAACAATTTGCTCAGCTTTCCCGAAAGTCCAACTGAGTAAAGAAAACTTTTTTGGCAAGCATTTAACTTTACAAATGTTTCTTAAAAAAAGTTACATAATTTACACGTATTCATGCATCTAATATAAAACTTAAAAAATAATCTTGTCTTCACCGAAACAAAATCTTGATTACAAAATTTACTGGAGAGGTTCCTTTGTGTTTTAACAAAAGATATCCGATATTTTGGAATATCAACACGATCAGTGGCGTAGCCAGGAATTTTTCAGTGGGGGGCACTGGGGGGGGGGGGGGGGGGGGGGGGGGGCTGGAACATTTCATGGGGGGGGGGGCATCATGTAGATCAATGATAATTTTTTAGAAACGCAAAATCTCAGTGGGGGGCGACTAAGGGGGCGACAAGGTTTCATGGGGGGCTGTCAACCCCCCCCCCCCCCCCACCACTGAACACGATTGAAATAAAAGTATAAAATGGCAAGTAAAAGAAAGATATTCAATTCAAACAATTTGAGATGTATGTTGTTTTTTAAACGTGGAATATGGAAGCACTACTTTAGATGCTTTCATCCCGGCAATTTGACGGAAAGCTTATAATAGAATATATAGGCCTATCACAGTTATTTCTAATCTTAACGTAATTTTCTAACAGTTAATTGCAAAATCAGTCTCCAGAACTTGTCTGAAAAAGGAAAACATTATCAAGCTTGTTCTAATAGTCTCCTGTCACTACTACTATTACCTAATGCCTGTAATACACATGCAATTAGTCTAACAACTTTTACAAAGAGTAACCTAAAACATAACAAGCATGCACTTTAACATGTTAACAAGTGTCAACGTTTATCTTTACAGTGGAAGATTTCTTCAATTTTAAAAGTCCCTTTTCTGGCCTCTTTAAATGTCCTCCCCATTTTCATTAACACGAATACATTAAATAAAAAACCCACTAGTTGGTTTTTATCTTTTCATTGAAAAGATTTTCAAAGGATTTTACAAAATGTAAACAACAATTTCTTTAATAACAATAGTAAAAACATATCTATGATTGTAAAAAAAATTGTAACAAGACTAAATTCAAAATGAATTTTAGCTTCTTTCAAAGTTTTGCTTGGTGGAATCAAGTGACATTCTGCATGAGCACAATTACTTTAAATTGGTGAAAAACTTGTATCTTTCAACAGTAACTTTCACGGCACTCTTTCAAGGATACTTCCCAAATGTTGCAATCAAATCAGTTGTTATGACTTGCTTAAACTGTTTTCAAACAAAAATCAGGTCTCTTTTAGGTGATAAAGACTGTGATCTACCCATTCAGTTCTGAATTCACCAAAATCACATTTACAACCCTAGAGTAATTTTCAGCGAATATAGAGAGTTTGGGCCAAGATATTACTATGTTAAATAAAAGATGTCCCCACTTTATCAAACAATACTAAAAAAGAATGGTCTATGCAATTCAGTTGCTTCCTTTCTGATTTAACAAAAATCATGTTTTTCAAGATGGTATGTTTGCATTTGTAAATTATATCATATTCAGGACAGAGGCAGACAGATGTTAGTAGTGTATGTTTCAAATAAATCACTGCACTAAAGCCTCAATATGAGGTACCAAGGTTACTCTGAAGCTGGAGGGCCCCTTGCAATGATCCTGGCTCTTTTTATCCTCCTTGGGCTTTCTCCATCGTCTTCCTCATCATCTTCCTCATCGTCTTCCTCATCTTCTTCTTCATCATCTTCTTCATCGTTGTCCTCATCTTCTTCCTCATCAGCATCATCACCATGGCCCGAGGTAGAGCCTCCACCCTTTTTACCCGTTGGCTCCTCATCAGATCTCTCAGGGATGTCAATGATGACGGTAGCCTGGAAGTAGAGCTGATCCACTTCTCCTGGCTCGGTGTAGTTTCCGCAGTTCTCCGCTTCTGTTTCCTTCCTGTCTACCAGGACCTTGCCCTTGCTCCAGTCTTTGATGAACTCCATCTTCTTCCACGCTGCGTGCTGAGGTTTGGGTCCTTCATTGTTCACGTACAGCATGTCCTCTCGGCTGAAGGCATAGACGCCGCTCTCATCATATTCATCCGATATCTCGTCGTACTCATCGGACACTTTCTCCGTTTCGTGTACAAGGACTGTCAGGTGGTGACAGGTCAGACCTCTGGAGGCCAGACCATCGCACAGGACCTGGTCCAAGCCCTTGAGGTTCCCCTCAGCCAGCGCCGACATGGTGTACTTGTGCTGCAGGAATATGCCCAATTGCTCTAGATTTCTCTTCTGGGCAATTTTCAAGACATCTGCAACAATGTTGTCTAAGGCTGCATTCTGATCGGCTTTGATCTCCGGCCATGTGAAGAAGTTTTGAATTCTACAATGGCTAAAGCTGCTTTCAGAATAACTGGGTTTCTTTCGGATGATGTTATAGGTGACAGTGATACGATGTCCTGACTTTACCGGCAGGATTTCATGCACGCAGTCAGAGAAGAAGGCAGCCCACTGAATCTTTCCCTGATCCGCGGACAGGTTGGCAAAGAAAAACTCTTCCTTGGCTCCATTGTGCTTGACAATTAGCTCTCCTCCGGTGTGTGGGCAAGGTAAGCACACAACCACCGTCCCAATCATACCAGCTGCGTCGACAGGCGTGTCAACGTGAGCACTGAAGAAGCCCCCAGTGCTGTAGACATTTAATTTGTAGCACTCTAGAGTGACATCCTCCTCATTTGCAAGAGAGCCACTCACGTCGCTCCTGATGATGCGAAGAAAATCCGGGTTGTATTCAGCCAGTTCCTGAAGAGAAGGGGCTTCCATCTTCCATCTTGCAAACTTGAACTTGGTGGCTTCGCACTCAGATGCCAGACGCACATTTGGATTGTATACAGTCTCCTGCTTGTCAAGATCTCCGTAAGGAGCCAGAGTGCAGAACTCAAGGAGCTCTTCCACAGGAAGTTGGGTGATTGGCCATCCAAACTGATTTTTCTCATCTGCATGCATTAGGAGTCTGGCGTCAGCATCGTTTTGGATCAGATCAACCCAGCCACCACAGCAGAAGGCCCTTGGCTCGATCATTCTCTCAAGACTGTCAAGGAGGTTCAGGACATGCCGACATCGGCTCGATTTGACCTTTATGATCTCGCCGAGAAGCACTCCATCTTTAGGGATCTTTCTCAAAGTTTCCTTGTACGTTTCAACCTTCTGGAAAGCCGCCACAGGATCAGAATCGTAATTCGTCATATTACTGATGATGGGCCTCAGTACACAGGACGAGAATCACCTATTTGAATAACACAAAAAGACAAAAAGTTACATACTGACTTTAAAGGCAATATACAATATTTGCTAACATCAAAAAATACTGCAAGTGAAACTTGCGCCACCCCCCGGCATGTTGGCAGTTTTTATAAGTCAGTTAGTGTTGATAAGTCAGTTAGTGCTGTTAGTGTCCCTGACCAAAATGGAAGATTTGTATTGTTTTAGCAATGTGCCCTTGACCTTTGACCTGTTGGCCGAAAAAAAAGCAATAGGCTTCTTAAGACTACCAAGAACCCACAAACTAAATTTCAAGTTCCCAAGTATTTCTCAAGTTATCGTGCTGACAATGTTTCTACTGTTTTAGCAATAGTGACCTTGACCTGTCGGCCCCAAAAGCAATAGGCTTCTGAAGGCTTCCAAGAATAACCCACAAACCAAATTTGAAGTTCCCAAGTAAAATATTGCTCGAGTTAACTACCTCCATGACCTAACCAAAACATAACGTACACATATACACAGGCATAGAGGCAGTACGCCACGTAGACAGGCAGTTTGGCCTTTTATTTGTGATTTTTGAACTGATGGTTCTTTATGCTACACTATGCAGGCTTGTCATAAAAGTGTTGTATGTTGCTGTGTTTGGCGGTGTTTCTAGCCAAAATACATTGGAGGTCGTGGACGTCGAACATCCCCTCCCCACCCCCCTCGACCCCCCCCCCCAAAAAAAAAACAAAGAAGAAAAAAATGCGCTGCATTAGGCTAAATATAAAAAAAAAACATGTTTAGCATCTATCCTGCCTTTTTTGAAAACAGGAAGCAGGAGGCCAATTTTTTTTCCCTCTAAAATGGCCGCCTGACCGGGCTATTTTTCAAGATGGTCCTCGGTTTTTTTTAAAAATGGCCACCATTGCACTCCGGAAATGGCATAACAGCTTTATATGGGTTAGATGCAACAGACAAAGAGGCCAAAATGATGCCTGTTGAAAATTTATCCCTCCCCCCCCCCCCCCGCCCCCCAAAAAAGTAGGTCAACCAACCGTGACCTCGTAGCCGGCTACGAGGTGGATAGATCGAGTGGCGGGGTATTCTGCAATTGTGCCGCACCGCCTCCAACTTGTGCAACACTATACCAGTACCACAGCATACAACTACACGCATAAGAACATGGATGAACAAATTCGCAACTTGTGAGCATGGCACGATCTCTGTATAGCCCTAACCTGGGCTAGATCTCTGTAGTGCCTCAAATTCTACTGGCAAGACTCAGTATCACTATCAGAAATGCATCTCATTCTCATTTCATAGTTTTGATACCGTCAATACTTTCCTTACCTTGATTTCAATAAGTTGAAAGTGAAGGCAAGCCTTGTTGAAATTAAATGGACGCTAAAAAAGTACTTACGCTGACTGGGCCACCAGTAGCAGTACAACTACAGCGTTGGATTCTTCAAAGTGCTTCTTGCATGCTTGTCTTTTTATTCTGTGCAAAAGCGCGCGCGCTAGGCACGCACACGTGTACACTGTATTCACGGCCTCCGTGCGTGGTAGACACGTGTTGACAGAGGGCAGCAAGCATTACAAGTCGTGGATATTTGAGCTACATAATTACATACATATTCTACTTTTCAGATCTGTTGGAATAACGCTTTGCTAAGTAAACGTTTCCTCTTTTCAGCTTCATGAATTACACGCCGACGAATTGGGCACTAAAATGGACGCCGAACGCGCACCCGCAAAACTGAGACAAAACAATATGTACAAAAACATATCACAACGAATTTTAGCGCACATACTTGGATCATTATAGGGAAATAAATCCTGAAAGTTGCATGAAGATACTGTCTTCCAAACTGGAAAAATTAATTTTCAAAGATATTTAACCCGCCAACGTGACCATGTCCAATTAGAAATTAACTTAAGATTTAAATAAAAACCAAAAGGACCATGTAAAATCAACAACCAATTCTTAAACCCAAGATTAAATACCGGGCCAAGACTATAAAACAACTAAGAACTCTAAAAACCAGAAACTTAAAAAGACTTAATCCTGATAAACCAAGAAAACTGAGACTATAAAACCAAAAACCAACACAGTGTGAATTAATGGATCAAAGAATACACTTTGGCGAAAATCAATGACACAACAAGCAGACAAAGCAGGAAAACACTCTCCAGGTACTAGGAGAAACATATCTTGTCTCTTCTGGTCTGTTGGCTGTACTTATAGTGAGACTCCAGGCAGATTATATAGGGGGAACTTGTGGACTGAAATAAACAAACAGGGGGATACACTACCAAGATGGGGGGGGGGGACATCTAAACTAAAACTAAAATTAGTTATTTTTTCCTGAGGGGATCTACTCCTATTAAATTCACTGCTGTACATACTCTGCACCCTGAACGTGACCAGTAGGAAGGTCACGAGTTCAAAGTTGACACAGAACATAAAAACTGAATTGTCTTTACCCTCTGAGCTCCAGCTGTCACAGAACTATAAATCTTAAATCTTAACCTTGCACTGACCTGACCTGACCTGACCTGTGGAATTTTCCTTGAACACTGTACACCAAACACAAACCAAACTCGTAATAAACTTGTTAACTTCTGTTTTGTACCTCACACTGTACATTTAGTCTTATTCTTCAAATAATACTTATTTGACACAATGTGCACCGCTATCATGTACTAAACTTTTCAACTAAATCTTGGCCCTGCCACATAAACAAATTAATTTCTAATGTGAAAACCAGGCTAATGTCTTTAAAAATATATATATGTACTGTGGATTTTATTTCACTGTATGTAAATAGAAGGCAATGAATCGCTTCAAAATGGAACATATTTTACAATTTTTATGAAATGCAAAAGTATGTTCACATGGACGGAGTATTATCACTTTCTGATGACTCTCATAGGAAAAGATAACAATTTACTCTGCTTTCCCAAAAGTCCAATTTATATCCGAGTAAAGAAAATCTTTTTTTGGCAAGCATTCCTTTTTTTGGCAAGCATTCCTTTTTTTTGGCAAGCATTTAACTTACATACTTTTCATATAAAAAGATACATATTTTACATGTATTCGTGCATCTAAGATAAAACTTACAATTAGTCTTGTCTTCACGAAGGTTTTTCTCCAATAAACCCAACCCACAATACTCTTACAATGACTGAAACACACCCTTGATTTAAGTAGTTTACTGGAAAGACCAGTACTGATATTTCTGAAAAATCAGCACGACTGAAATAAAAGACTAAATGACAAGTAAAAGCAAGAAATGCAATACAAACAATTTGAGAAGCTTGTGTCTTAAGTTCGTTTCTAAATATGTAATATGGGAGCACCAATCTAAATTTCTTTGAGCCAACAATATAAAACATATCACAGTTATTTCCAATCTTAACATAACTTCATAAGACTCAACGGTGAAATGAGTCTCCAAAATCCTCAGAAAAAGATGGGGGGGAAATATTTTTTTTAAACATTTATGATTAAGATTTTTCTCATAGGCTTATTGTTTCACTACTACTACCTAATACACATGCAATCAGTCTAACGTTGTTTACAAAGAGTAACCTAAAATGTAACAGGCATGCATTTAACATATTTGTAACAGGCATGCATTTAACAAAATAAAGTGCAAGAAAGACAAATGTTTGTTTCACCTGTTATTATAAGTTAACAGCGTAACAAGTTGAAATTCTTTGTGGAAGATTTCCTAAATCTTAAAAGTCCCTATTGTGTGGCCCTCTTTGAAAGTCTTCTCCATTTTTATTGACACCGATAATTACACCACTAAACCAACAAACACTTGTTTGCTATATATTACATTTTCAAAGGATTATACAAAATGAAAACAGGTTATTTGATGAAAATAATAGTAAAAATGTACGTGTCTAAGATGGTCAAAAAATTGTAACAAAATTAATTTCAAAATTCCAGTTTTGAACTTTCACTTTATGAAATCAAATGACCCTTCCGTATTAAAACAAATACTTGGGTAAATTTATCAAAAGCTCTTATCTCTCGACTGTACATGTAACTTTCATGGCACTCTTTCGAGGATCTTTCCTAAATCTGGCAAAAGTACAATAAAGTCTGTAATGACTCACTAATACTGTATTACTGTTTCAACAAAACTCAGGTCTCTTTTAAGTGACAAAGTCCAGGATCTACAAATTCAGTCCTGCATTCATCAAAACTGCATTGCAAAACATGAGAGTGGTTTTCGGTGAAATGAGGATAGTTTTAATAAGATATTACTAACTCCTTATGTACAAAAAGAAAAGTTGGCCGAAAAACTAAATTATCCTGGCTCTTTTTCTCCCTCTTGAGCTCTCTCTATCGTCTTCCACATCATCTTCTACATCGTCTTCCTCATCATCTTCCTCATCTTCTGCCTCATCAGCATCATCACTATGGCCGGAGGTAGCAGAGCAGCCACCCTTTTTTACCATTGGCTCCTCATTAGATCTTGCAGGGATGTCAATGACAATGGTAGACTGGAAATAGAGCTGATCCACTACTCCTGGCTCGGTGTACCAACAGTTGTATTTCTCCGCTTCTGTTTCCCTCCTGTCTACCACGACCTTGCCCTTGCTCCAGTCTTTGATGAACTCCATGGCCTTCCAAGCAACATGCCGAGGTTTGGGTCCTTCATTGTTGACGTACAGCATGTCCTCTCGGCTGAAGGCATAGACCATGCCCTCGTCATCTTCATCCCCGCATGTCTGGTCATACTCAAGCACTTGCTCATGTTCATGGACGAGAACTGTCAGGCGGTGACAGGTCAGACCTCTGGAGGCCAGACCATCGCACAGGACCTGGTCCAAGCCCTTGAGGTTCCCCTCAGCCAGCGCTGACATGGTGTACTTGTGCCGCAGGAAAATACCCAATTGCTTCAGATTTTTCTTCTGAGCAATTTCGAGGACATCCGAGACGATGTTGGCCAAGGTTGTATTTTGATCAGCTTTGATCTTCTTGCCTGTGAAGAACTTTCGATTTGTATAGTGTCCAAACCCACTTTCAGACCAACTGGATTTCTTTCGGATGATGTTATAGGTGATAGTGATGAGATGTCCTGACTTTACCGGCAGGATTTCATGCACGCAGTCAGAGAGGAAGGCAGCCCACTGAATCTTTCCCCGATCAGCAGACAGCTTGGCAAAGAGAAACTCTTCCTTGGCTCCTCTGTGCTTGACAATTAGCTCTCCTCCGGTGTGTGGGCAAGGTAAGCACACAACCACCGTCCCGATCATCTGAGCTGCATCAACAGGCGTGTCAACATGAGCACTGAAGAAACCCCCAGTGCCACAGACATTCAACTTGTAGCACTCTAGAGTGACATCATCTTCATTTGCCAGAGTGCTGCTCACCTTGCTTCTGATGAAGCGAAGAAAATCTGGGATGTAGTCAACCAGAACCTGTGGAAGAGGGGTTCCTGTCTTGTTCCTTTTTCCTGGCTGGGGATTAGGATCAGATTTCCTGGCAAACTTGAACTTACTGGCTTCACACTCGGATGCCAGACGCACATTGGAATTGTACACAGTCTCCTGCTTCTCAAGATCTCCGTAAGGAGCTGGAGTGCAAAACTCAAGAAGCTCTTCCACAGGAAGTTTGGTGATCGGCCATCCGAACTCATTTTTCTTATCTGCATGCATCAAAAGTCTGGCCTTTTGCTCCAGCTCCACCCAGCCACCACAGCAGAAGGCCCTCGGCTCCGTCATTCTCTCAAGACTGTCCACAAGGCGCAGGACATTTTGGCAGTTTGTCAAGTTGGTTTTTATGATCTTGCCGAGAAGCACTCCATTATCAGGAATCTTTCTCAAGGTTTTTTGGTACATTTTATACTTCTTCTTTGCTTGTTGGAAATCCGCCACAGCATCAGAATGGTAATTCGCCATATTGGTGATTGCCCTCAGTATGCAGGATGAGAATCACCTATTTGAATAACACCAAAAAAGACAAACAGTATGTGACAAACTATACATTTTTTTTAAGTTTAACAATACTGGAGCAGACACTGAACCTGCAACCTCCAGATTGCCATTCAAGTACTCTACTATAAACTGAACTCTACCCTGTCGGCGGTTCTCCGTTTTGTCAATGTCTTTATTCTATGCAGGGATGCTAGTCAGAAGCCACAAAGCTACAGCTATGTAGCCGGTGATCATGCTCTCCCCATTAGCAATGCTGCAAACATGGGAAATAGCAAAGTTTTGATTTATAAAAACTGTTATTTGGGATGGTCTCGTATATATCGAATATTCGATTATCAACCGAACATTTGAATAGCATTATACAGCCGGTTCGAATATTCATAAAAATAAGTTGTTTAATTTTCCACGATAATTCGTTGGTATACAGTCGAACACCTTTATAACAAGGTTCTTGGGACTTTATGAAGTACCCTGTATTAAATAGAAAACAAAGGAAAACAAAGAAAAACAAAGACTTGAGACCTAAAATTGTGCCTGCTATAGGCAGGATCTTGTATTAACGGTGCTCTTCTTATCAGGGTTCAACCTTGACAAAAATTTAACGGTACCAAGTATATCAAGTCGACATCAGAATTTTCAACAATCGATATCGGAAATCTAATATCGAGAATATTCGATATATATCGACTTTCCCATGTAAAAGTTAAAGACCTTTTAGATGGCACTTTGAGTTAAAAAAAAAAATACAATGAAATCTTAATTTTCCATGGTTTTCTCTGGAGCAGATTGCTCAAGCTTTTTAAAACAAATCTCAATTTGTCCCGAATGGGTGGTTGTTTTTTTTAAATAGTTTTACATTGGGATAGAACATTTAAGCAAACACAGGGCACAAAGTAATGCCTAGTATGCTGCTTGGCCTTTCTAAATGTTTATATTTTGACTACACGCACAAGTTGCTGCCGAGTTGCCGCACAAACTTTATTCATGGGCATCGCTATACCATTTTGAAGGGGGGGTTGCCATCATGAAGATTGATGTCTTGCAAAATGAGTGTAATTGATAATTTCCGCCCAACATGGTCCCTGTAACTCCATTTCTGTACATGTACATATAACTATGATAATACTTTGAATGGATTTAATTTTTCAGCGAGTTAAGATCAACTTTAAAAGTAAATGGTCACAATGTGGCCCTACAATAGTCAAAATAGTTCAGCTGACTGCAGAGACAAGTTAACATCATAGTCTTGAATTTTCCTACTACATGTACCTGGAGAATGCTGTTCCTGCTTGGCTTTGTGAAAAATAATTCTATTAAAGGATAGGCATTGGTTTTTTTTATCAGGTCGAATTAAATTTCTTCAAAAGTCTATTTTGTTTCCTTGATTCCTTTTCTCCTTTGTCCCAGTTTTTAAAAACTAAATCACAACTTAATCATTTTGTACCAGGATATTACTAGTGCGCCATATTTTGCAGTTACATAATTATGTGACATAAAAAAGTGAATTCCATTCTGAGCTCGTCGGTGCTGTCCAATTAAATGAATAACCGTGACTATATGATAATACTGCAATTCAGAATGCCAGTTGCAACTTTTTGTCAATGGCAATTTTCTGGAATCCCCCTCTCCCCCACCCCTAAAAAAACCCCATTTTTTTAAAATCCGGGGGAAGATTCCCATATCTGGCCATCACTAATTTTTCCCTTCAGTGACCTATTATCAGTCCGGAGAAGAAAAAAAAAATGTCTACATTTCACCACGGATGTGCAAGTGCTCTTTTAAAGAAATTTTACCCCCAATGACCGTGCTACGCCCACCACTGTACTGTTCTGCACCGAATAATTTCAACCATAACTCATGCTACAATATTCATGCGCATGGAGGTACGAGGTAGGGCCAGGGCAGGCATTACAGGCCGAGTCCGTCTGAATATTGCGCCAAATTTACAAGTCACTAGCCAACCGTACCACGTGGTATAGTGGCCCGACCATGGTGGTCCCACCAGAAAGATATTTCTTCCTCCGTAATGGACCGACCTAATAAAAACATTACCATCTAACCGTTCGCAAAACATTTCACAAGAATTACTGTGCATGCATAGCCAACACCTCTAGTATCTCTTTCTTTTTAATAGCTTTGATATAATGAATACAGTGTACTTTCCTTACCTTGATTTAGGTTGAACCGGGAACCAGAAGGCAAACCTTGTTGACGTTGACTTGGCACTTAACAGTGCGCTCGATCTCGACCACGTGCAAAGCGAGCGCTACCGTCCACGTGCAAGCGCCACAGCACAGCAGCATGCTAGAAGCATGGAAGTAGGGCACATTCCCTAGTTTCGCAGATTGAGTCGGAGTATCAGCTTTCATCCAATTGGCCCTGCACAAAACTCTTGGAATGTGGGTCAGGTTCCTCGCTGTAAATCATGTGGTCATCAGGCGCGTACGCGTACGGTTGAGGAGCGAGTGGCTGGGGGGAGGGGGGGGGGGTGGAACTTTCTTACTGTACTCATCTGTTCCTTGCTGTATGTTGTACTACTGCGGTTTGGCAATAGCTTTTGTAGCAGCCAACCTAGAGGTCTTTGGGTTTTTTAATTAAAACCCTCCTATGGAAACATGCATTGCCAGCCTGGTTATTACTTGGGTCACCCCCATTGGTTTGTGCAGTATGCAAGGAGGTGAGATACAAACATTTTGACCATTGGTGACCTCTTAAAGGGAATATACATTTGCAAACATCGAAAAATAAAACTACCAACTTTTTAAGAAATACCTTACTAGGATGTTAGTAAATGACAGTCTAAAGCATCCTGTAAAATTATGGCACCTGGTGTGGAGTCATTTTCAGGAAAATGGTATTTTTGTATACATTTCCAACGGTGGTCGGCCGACCACCGTTGGAAAAGCCTAACTATATTTCAACTACTGCTCCAAATTTACCTTTTTTCAGTCCAAATTTTGTTTGGTATTGGTTACATGTTCATGAACGGGTGCAAGCCAGCTAGACTGGTTCCCTTACCTTACAAGTTTCTGGCAACTATAAATTGATCCATTTCATTTTGGTGGAGTCAGGGAACCAGACTACTTGAACAATTTTGTTTTTCTTGTTTTTATTCAGCATTTTCGAACATAAACTTCAAACATGTCAGTGTAACAATATTTGATATATTATTCTAACCCCTCAAATACTCCATTGCTGAAAATTACAGCAAAAGCCAATGATGTACATTCCCTTTAAATAGTAGGAGGGTTATTAAACAACGCATGCACAATGAATGTTCTTGTGTATCCCTGTTTGAAAAAAACAGTAGTTTCTTTGATTGAAACCACACATTTCCAGCTTTTCATTCATACAGCTTATCAACAAATTTTCTACGCAAGAAACTGACAATTCATTCAAATAAAATAAAACTTTTATTACCACCTTTGAACAGGCATAACTGGCAATAACAACACTGGCAATAACATCAACACTAGCTGCTAAAGGTAATTCAAAAAGAAAATGAAAGTACATACAAAACAAAACAAGGTAATTTCTCATGTGAAAAACAAGGCTAATGCCTTTATGAAAAAAATATATAACATATTAAATGTACTACAGATTTTACAAAGCGCTGTAACACATTTGAAAATGTTTCAAAAAATACCAAAAACGTTTACTGTGTAAACTCTAGTCAAAACACTTCTCAGCCGAGAAATTGCAGTTTGTATGAATTGATATTCCTATAAGTCTTGTTTGGATTTTAAATGAAATCTGAATATCCGTACACACTTGACTGTAAACGAAACTTTTTTAACAGTTATGTTTTAAAAAGGAACTGAGATGCTTTAAAATAGAAAACTTTAACAACTGTTTGTATAAAGTACAAGGTATGTTCACATGAACATCAACTTCTCATGACTCAAGTCGTAGTAACAGATGTAAAAAATTGCTCTGCTTTCACAAAACTTCAGTTTATATCTGAGTAAACTTTTGGGGCAAGCATTTAACTTTAAAGAATTCTCTTGAAAAAAATACATATACATATATTTTACACGTATTCATGCATCTGAGATAAAAGTTACAAAATAGTCTTGTCAAATAAGTCTTTTCTCAAATAACCCAATCCACAATGTTTGCCATGATTGAAACACAATCTTGATTAAGTAGTTCACTGGAAATGCTTTTTTTGGCTTTAACAAACGGAATCTGATATTTCTGAAAAAATAACGCTACTGCAATTATTAGTAATTGGCAAGAAAGATATTCAATTCAAACAATTTGAGTTGTGTGTGTCCATGTTTTTAAACATGGAATATGGAAGCACCACTTTAAATTCTTTCATCCAATTTGAAGAAAAGCTAACAATAGAATATATATTATAGTTATTTCTAATCTTAACGTTACACAAAAATACATTACAAAAAAATATGTGTAAGTTTATGTGAGATATATTGTAGTAATTTCTAATCTGAACCTAATTTTGTAACAGGGTCAAAAAAAAAAAATAATAATACCGTCGTTCTGCTTCCTGTTACCCTACCTACCCTATTTTGACAGCCCATACCCTAAAGAAATTTGGGGGGGGGGGGGGGGGAAATGAGGGGAAAGACCTAAAAATCATTCATTACTACCTTTTACCCTTGACTACATGCCGACACTTCCATTGTACTGACCAAAAAACGCCCCCAAAAAAGGCAAAAAAATTCCATACCTAAGTACCCTATTTTCAAATGCCATGTAATCGGAGAGCAGAACCATTTTTGTTTGGCCTAGTCAACAGCAAAATCAGTATCCAAAAACCATCTGAAAAAGCAAAACAACTTTTTTCTTCAAAAAAACATTTATGATCAAGATTTGCTCTTATAGGCCCCTGCCTATACAAGGCCTACTGACCAATGCCTCTAAATCTAATACACATGCAATTAGTCTAACTACCTTCACAAAGAGTAACATAAAACGTAACAGGCATGCATTTAACATATTAACTAGTGCACAAAAGATATGAAAGTGTATTTTACCCGTTTTAAAAGTTAACAGTGCAACAAGTTGAAATTCTTTGTGGAGGATTTCCTCAATTTTAAAAGCTCCTGATCTGGCCTTCCTTAAAATCCTCCCCATTTTGTTAACACCATACATTTCTTAAAAAACAACCACTGGTTTATTTTGCTTATATCTTTTCAAAGGATTATACACATTTAAATGTTAACAACAGTTTCTTTGATAACTATAGTAAAAACGTATCTATGATTTTCAAAAAAAATTGTAACAAGATTAATCCAAATTAATGTTGGCTTCTTTCGAAGTTTTGCTTGGTGGAATATCAAATGACATTTCTGTATGAACACAATTACTTGGGTAAATTGGTCAAAATCATGTCTCTCTCAACCATAACTTTCACGGCACCCTTTCCAGGATCTTTCCTAAATCTGGCGAAAATACGACAAGATTCCGTAATGACTCACATATACATACTGCCTCAAACAAAATTCAGATCTCTTTTAGGTGACAAAGACAAAGACTATAGGATCTACACATTCAGCCTGCATTCAATCCATCACGATCGCATTGTAAAACATGGGAGTGGTTTAGTGAAGGATAAGATATTACTAACTTCCCTCACGTTTAAAAAAGGTTCCCACTTTATCCCACAATACCAAGAAGAATGGTATAACATTAACGTGCAGTTGCTTCTTTTCTTAAGATGGTATGTGTACATGTGTAAATTATGAAATATTCGGTGCAGTGGCAGACATATGTAGCCAGTGTTTCAAACGAATCACTGCACTGAAGCCTCAATATTAGAAAACAACTCTTGTATTTTAGAAGCCAGAGGGCAGCTTGCAATGATCCTGGCTCTTTTTCTCCCACTTGGGCCTTCTCCATCGTCTTCCTTGTCCCCATCGTCTTCCTCAACAACATCATCACCATCATCATCAGGTGGCTGCTCACCAGATCTCTCAGGGATGTCAATGATGACTGTAGACTGGAAGTAGAGCTGATCCACTTCTCCTGGATCGGTGTAGTTTCCGCAGTTGCGCGGTTTTCTTTCCTTCCTGTCTACCAGGACCTTACCCTTGCTCCAGTCTTTGATGAACTCCACGTCTTTCCACCCAGCATGCTGAGGTTTGGGTCCCTGCCTGTTCACGTACAGCATGTCTTCTCTGCTGAAGGCAAAGACCTTTCTCCTGCCATCCAGGTATGTTTCGCCATCCTCGTCGGGCATTTCCTCTTTTTCGTGGACGAGGACAGTCAGGCGGTGACAGGTCAGGCCTCTGGAGGCCAGACCATCGCATAGGACCTGGTCCAAGCCCTTGAGGTTCCCCTCAGCCAGTGCCGACATGGTGTACATGTGCCGCAGGAATATGCCCAATTGCTCCAGATTTTTCTTCTGGCCAATTTTGTGGACATCCGAGACGATGTTGTCCAAGGTTGCATTCTGATCAGCTGCGACCTCTGGGCCTGAGAAGAAGCTCTGATTTTTACAAGATCCAAACCAACTTTCAGACCAACTGGGCTTCTTCCGGATGATGTTGTAGGTGACGGTGATGCGATGTCCTGACTTAACCGGCAGGATTTCATGCACGCAGTCAGAGAAGAAGGCAGCCCACTGAATCTTACCCTGATCAGCAGACAGGTTGGCAAAGAGAAACTCTTCCTTGACTCCTTTGTGCTTGACAATTAGCTCTCCTCCGGTGTGTGGGCAAGGTAAGCACACAACCACCGTCCCGATCATACGAGCTGCGTCGACTGGAGTGTCAACGTGAGCACTGAAGAAACCCCCAATGCTGTAGACGTTCATCTTGTAGCACTGTAGAGAGACGTCCTTCTCATTAGCAAGAGTGCTGCTCACCTTTCTCCTGATGATGGGAAGAAAGTTTAAATTGTAGTCGAGCAGAACCTGCTGCGGAGGGGCTTCCACCTTCTTTTTTCTTCCAGGCTTGGGATTAGGATCGGATTTACTGGCAAACTTGAACTTACTTGCTTCACATTCGGATGCCAGACGCACATTGGGATTGTACACAGTCTCCTGCTTGTCAAGATCTCCGTAAGGAGCTGGAGTGCAGTACTCAAGAAGCTCTTGCACAGGAAGTTGGGTGATCGGCCATCCAAACTCATTTTTCTTATCTGCATGCATCAGAAGTCTGGCGGCAGTATCGTTTTGCTCCAGCTCCACCCAGCCGCCACAGCAGAAGGCCATCGGCTTGGCCATTCTCTCGAGACTGTCAACGAGGTTCAGGAGACTCTGACTCTGGCTCAATTTGACATTGATGATCTCGCCGAGAAGTACTCCATCTTCAGGAATCTTTCTCAAAGTTTCCTTGTACGTTTCATACTTCTTCTTTGCTGACTGGAGTTCAACA